CTTGGCCCCTTAAAACCCAGTTTTAAAGATCACGTAGCGACACACCCCTTGTGTATAGTTCTAATACCGTCCTTTCTTCCCGTAAAGCCCCAACAATAGTAGCAGCGCTGGTGTCAGATTATGAAAACACAAAACATAGTTTGTCGACCGGCACTATTCTGTGACCGATACGAAAACACTGCGACCAGTTTTTAATCCTTTCGGATGCGCTTGTATAGAAAAACGTATGTTTTTAACACAGACCTTAGCCTTGTGACCCCTTGAAGTTGCCCAAGCGGCATAAGCATTCACAATAACAAGTTACTGATATCCATGCCTAGCTTTGTGCATTATGGGTTTTACGTTTTTTGCGTTCCACTGTTGTGTAAAACATAGGCCTAAACCTAGATCACGTAGTAAGATCTAGTTAATTTCAAGTTTCTTGATTCTTTTAAACAATTCTTTGTAGCTTTTTTCAACGATATTCACATTGATTACAACGTCTTAATTAAGGAGTTAATTAACATGCAATCAATTAGCAATTTATCTTGGAGCTATCCATGTCCTTGACATCTTTCGTTATTTGCTTCCCCGACTCTCTTGGTGGTCTAACCGTCTAAATATATCCTTTGGCTTCACCCAAATGACGAAATATATTAATATGTTTTGACTCTGCAGTAGTTAATGAGGTGTAAAGATGTAATCTTCTGTAATTTATTCTTAATTGTGTACGATAAGAGGCGAGATTGGGAGTAAAAACAGGCCAAACCTTAAACAAAAGGATCAGTCTGGACCAGCGCAAACCTGTGCCGAGCGGCGTTCTTTCTTATTTATGTTTGACGTGAGAAGTTAAGAATTATTGAAAATGTACATATTCTGGGATTAGCAGTTTAAACCTGTGTCGCTTTGCTTTCTGTCGTGAGCCTCAAGTTGTTGGTCTTGTCCAAACAGTGATTATCACCCGTCTAATCAGTATTCAAACCAACCAGCTACGTTTTTTGTGCACCCACGTAACTCGCCTGCCAAACATGCCTCGCGTCTGAACTAAACCTGGCGTGATGTATGTCCGAGTTTGCGGTAACCTTTGCACCAAAGCCGTCCCCGTGCTTTGCACCATTTGAAAGGCACGGGGACGAGAAACTGGCCGGTTATTTCCGACCCGGCCAGGCACAGGTGGACAACACCACTCCGGTACCGCGCTGTTCCACAACAAGCGAGTTGTAGGAAACCTCCACGCCATGCCAGTGTTCTACTACTCAGTAAGTACACGACTTTAGATCTAGTCTTATCAAACCACTTGCTTGTATATTGTTCTCCCTTGTATCTAGGACGCTAATTGCTGTTCTTTAACACAGGTGGATTCCGTGGTCGCCATAACTTGGACGTTATCGCGAAAATTCCTCTACTTTTAATGGCTACCCTTTGTTGGAAAGTCTATAAGGTTATTGTACTGGGAAGAAAAAAAGTCTCATAAGCGCTGGTCTCGGAACAAAGTTGTGCCTATATTTGCAAAGCTCAATACGATCTCGTGCCAGGCAACGTCTGACGACCACTTCACACCAATATCGGCAAAATGGCCGGACGATTGCAGTGATTTTTGAATGGGGATTCCTACAACTAGCTTTGACAGAAGTTTATATTTTCAAGGTTGATGTGTAGAAGTGTGTCCTGTGGACTTGATTGCGTGGAATGCCTTGCGAATGGGGCGTGTGATCCTTTAAGTGTTTGCGCTGGTCATACAAAGCCGAGATGTGTCATTCTTCCACCACTGAACGCCCTGTCAACCTTCACCGTTAAAGTACACTTAAACTTTGCTCGTCTGACTGCCGGTGTAGAGAGTTCCAGTCAAAGTTAAGCCTCGCACACACATACTTCTGTCGGACGGTCTGTGTAACACTTCCAGTAGGAGGTGTGAAGTCTTGGTCCGTACCGCAAACGCTGGCTTCTTGTCCCCGCATCCCGTTGTCCGTGAGAACGCAAACTAACAACCCTAATGGCTTTGTACCGCCTGACCTGACAAGAGATGCCTTTGGCTCTTACGACCCCGTGTGGAAATATCCCACCACATATATAAAAGCTGTGTGTGCACAAAAAGTTGTCCATGTATTCCTAAGCTTTGTATAATTTCCGATGGGCATATTTGCGTTAAGGGCGTCAATACGTAACAACTGGACGTCAACAATCATTACACAACTCTTCCTTTGTCCCATAACTATAGGGATTTGCGTCATCATTTGTCTCCCCCAGCCGGCAGGCCAACAGTTTCATTTTTATTACGATTTGAACTAACTAATTAAACGTGGTATGCGTAGATCATTCTACTTGTTAATTAGCACGCTTGTTTGATTGGGTATGATCCTTTTATATACTGTGCTGAGGCCATCTTGACAGTGTGCCATATCAGGCGTGTATGTCAATGTTAGCCTAAGGCTAGAGGTGACTTTTCCATCAGATTTCCAATGCGGGGTTGTGTTTGAACGTCCGCCCAGCGCAAAAGACCGCCGTGCTGTCATTCCATACTTGTTGACTCGACACGGCGGAGGCCCGGGCATGCTAGCCCGACGTTCCTTCGTGACGCCAATACAGAAAAACCCACAAATCTCCCAATTAGTTGTCCTGACTCCGTTTTCGAGACACCCTGCTAGTTACTGCTAATGTTATGACACCTCGAAGCGTTGTTGAAGCGTTACTATGTGTCAAAAGACAACATAACATTCCTAACAATATAGCCAGAAATTAATTACTACACATTTTGAAGCGAAACGGCAAATTTTGGCAGCATTCTTTCCAAACTTCTGTCTATGCCAACCGAAAAGTCTAGCGATCAAGAATAATCCGTCCTTATAAAATTCTACATGTCCCAGGTACGGCTATCAGATATAAGCGAATTTATCAGCACTAGGGGATTAAAATTTGACGGAATTGTTGAACACTTGATGATTGATATATCTACTACATTGGCTCTAGTATTTGTGCACGATCTGAGGGTGAGGGGGCAATGAATAGTGGTATAAGAAGGAAAAAATATGTGTTGTTTTCGTGGTTTGTTCTTTGATACATAGAAGTGTTAAACTGTTAATGGTATGTAGGTCGGAATGGTTTGCGAGTCCAGTGCCTTCTATGTACCGACATGGCGGCTGAATGTATATGGGGTTAACGTAGGTCACGAATTTATAATCATTGCTTCCACACCTCTTGGCAACATCTTATCACCGGGGTGGTTGTATTTGCCTTGCTGTCGTGGTGCTTCAGCGAACGAGGCGTTATCAGTGATTGTATGTCACCAGATGCAGTCGCTACAACACCGTCCGACATGTGTGCGTGTCCCCCGGTCGACGTTATCACTGCCACATTCCGAGCGGGCACAACGTCGCACCGGTGGGCCGCCCGGCCTTAATTGTGCTGTGCCGCGGTGCAAATAGCAGAGAAGGCATGCGAAATCACCTTACAGTGTTACCAGTCTCCTCCCAGCCAAGGGCATACCAAACAAGGAACACACTGTCGCCGGTAACCGCATGGAGAGAGAGTCATTATTTAAAAAGTTCAAACAATGATTTTTGTCAGGTTAGGATTCGATCAAGAGCACCGGTCATGGTAGCGTTACGGTGCCGGGGGCATGCGTGCCAACTTATCTGGTCTTCTCCCTCCTCATAATGAGTTTGTATCGGCGCTTAAATTAAAAGCTAACACTCACCAACGGCGCAGTGCGTCATTCAGTGCGTATCAAACACGACACGGGTGTTTGTGGGTTCAAAGTGGCGCCCACAACCGCACGTCATGTTCGACATTGTGTAACCATGTCATTCGCAAACTGCCCCCTCCCCCTTTTTGTCCTAACTATGTACGTTAGAGTTCACCCATATCTATTTCCTAGGGCTCTTTTCCATCGCTATTTGCGCCTTCCAACATCTTCGACAAGTTATTTTGACATCTCTGGTAGCAAAAACAAAGTTACTGGTCATATCTTCCCAATGTCACAACGAAAAAGCCTCAATAAATACAGACTGCGGTAGGTTGTAGTATGTCTTGACCTCTAAATATTTGTAGGTACTAATTCAGAAATGGTACAATGGTTTAGGACGTGAGTGTCACGGCTCGTGATCGCTGTTTACGCCAACCTTTAGCTATAGCTCATACAGGGGCCATCGGGAACGTGTTCGATTGCATTGTATGGTGCCTTCACCACGATATTGTTGCTTATCTTCATCTGATAAGAGAACAACATGCACTGGTGTCCTCGCAATATTTTTCTCGTCTCTAGAGTAAAGGAAATAGACTGTTTATTGTGATGAAGAATGCGTTGTTTATTTGCATGGTCCATGCGCGTGTCTTCGACCTATTTCGTTGATCCTAGCTATAGATAGCAGTGTACACACACAGGCTAAACACAACACACTATTCTTGAACGTACGGTTGTACAAACTCAACAATGATGTCCAAATTCAGGTCTTTTCTCTAAGAATGCTTTCGATGATCCTGGCTTAGTGACTGTTTTAGTTCAGATGAAAGTGTTGGGACCGAGTTATTCATTGACGGTGTATCTATATTAAGCTACGTATTGTACATTTTGCAAATTAGTAACAGCCTTGTACAATATGCTGTTAACCCTACCACCCCTTTACTGTTCAAAGTCTGGGGCAGATACTTAGTTATACTTACTCGTGTGAACTCATGTTCGCCAAATATATGCTGTCCCACGGCACCCAAATCCGTAGAGAGAAAGAGAGGCTCTTAGGACCACTACGGAATGGCGAAGTACTCGTCCGATTGCTTATCGAGGTCCGCGAGTTGAAATTCTGATCTCTCGTGCATTTGAATCGATGTAAGACTAGATACCTTATCGATTAGCAATTGGGACATGGTCATGCAACTAGATCGTGTATTTAACCACTAGCTAGTTACGTCATTCACCGAACAAAGAGATCCCATTGACAAGAACTTCTATCCGGAATATTCGCGACGTGACAGCTGACATGTTTGCCATTTGTTGACACGTTTTTATTTGTCCTGTGTTAACCCAGGAGCCGAGTTCACTGTTAGAGTTACACCCGAGCGGAGCGGTCATGGGCGCGCAGAACAACGCATTCGCCCCGCTACCGGACATCGACGCCTTCCTGCACAACACGGGCCTCAACATAGACCAGATCCAGCAGGGTCACGTGACGCCCGGGGACTCGCCATCCCCCGATCACGTGTCCGTCAAGTTCGAAGAACCCAGGTACTACTGTACTGAGCATGCGCAGGAAGGCGTCACCGGCCAATCACAGGCCATGTTCGTGGATCACGTGGACGAGCAGGACCAGACGATGTGGGAGGAGCAACTGCAGACGGTAGACATGCACGAGGTGAGGAAAAACCTGGGCAAGATGCAGCCACTCATCATCAAGGAGGTCGTCAAGGACATCGAAGTCGCCTGTAAGCTCCTCAACATCCCCTCTGGTGAGATATTCTTGGTTTTGTCTTATTTGCAGCAAAAGTTCTTTCTGTTATGCTACAAAAATTGAAAGTTCATAAGGGACTAGAATGAAAGCTTATCTTGTTTGGTAGGTGATGTTATCAACGTTTCAAACTTTATTTTAAACCCACATAAATGTACACTCACGTTTACCAAGAAACAAATGTTTTCTATGGCCTTCTTCAAGAAAACTACCCCAACCAGTCCTGACACGTGACCTAGCGGGAACGTAACGTCATTATTGAGTCGAGTCGAGCCGAAAATGTGTCCCAATTGACGATAACAGTCTTTGAAATTCCTTTCATGACAGACCCTCACTACTGGACGGTGGAGCACGTAGAAAAGTGGCTGTTGTGGACCCTCCACCAGTACAGACTCCCTCCGCTCAACCTCGACTACTTCCGCATGAGCGGCGTCACACTGTGCATGCTCAGCGAGGACGACTTCCGTTTTAGAGCGCCACGCTGCGGAGACATCCTGTATGCTCACCTCGACGTCTGGAAGACAGGTGCGTACAGGACACATATTTCACATCCTACGTCAAAAGACTCAACCTAGTTGTTCAGCGAAACGGAAGGATAGTCAGTTCCCTGTGGTGTTGGATTACATTATGTAGCAAGTGGCAGGACAGAGTTGGAGGGGCTGGGTACAAAAAAAGATATATGTGAATGTGTTGTGGCTTGTTAGGCTAGACCATGGGATGGTTAACATTATATGGATTTGCCTAGCAAATGTTACCTTTCTAATCTATAATCCTGTTTTGTTCACACAGCGTCACGGATAGCAGGTCTACACATTTTCCCAGAAAGCGAAGAAGAAGACGTTGACAAAGGTGAGCATTTAGAATTATCACGTTATGTTTTCTCTGTTAGTGTTAGAGGACCCCCTCCCCACCTCAAATTCCCATACTTTGCACGTGTAGCCATATGTGATCCAGAGAACTTTGTGTAAGGCCAAGGAGACTACTTTGTACGTATCGTAGCCAGTGTCAATGCTTCTACTTTCAATGTATTAAGATTTCCCCTCTTTTTTTGCAGACGACCTGTCGAGTCCAACCACAGTGAAAGAAGAAAGGACCTCCCCTCCTCCCTCGTGTAATGGCGTTAAAGGCTGTAAGTGTTATATTATATTATATTATATTATATTATATTATATTATATTATATTATATTATATTATATTATATTATATTATATTATATTATATTATATTATATTATATTATATTATATTATATTATATTATATTATATTATATTATATTATATTATATTATATTATATTATATTATATTATTACATGTAGTTAAAAAAATCAATATTTGTAACATCTGTCAGCCATGTTAACTTAGTTCTGTCTCAATTTGTAATAAAAAGTGATTTGATATATCCTCTGACAATAAAAATCTTTTGCATTTCCAGTGACGGACCGCCCACCCATAGGACCTATCACGTCAATGACCCCTAACCATCAAGGTAAAGACAACAGCATTTTTTTCTTACTCTGGTAATTTAGCACGAAACTGTTCCCCCAAAAAAGTCCACATTAAGTATGATGTGCAGTTAAAACATTGAATAGCGCTCAGGGGACCGAAAAATCTGGTCTATTTGGACAGGTGGTCAATATCAAGATTCTTAATGCTTGTAGAGTTGGCCACTTGTACAGGTTTGACTGAGCTAGAATGGGACTCCTTGACACAACTAGTACGTAATATTTCATCTTTAACTTTAAAACAGTAAGTGGCTACACGTTAAGAATTACGATTCTCCAATCTTCTTGATTTCAGCGGGAATCCACTTGTGGCAGTTCCTGAAAGAGTTGCTGCTCCAACCGGAGTCGTACAGCCACTGTATCCGCTGGATCGACAGAGACGCAGGTATGACATGACATGGTTCATGGTTACTGCTGGCTTGTAACATCTATCTGCCACTTTGGGGATTAGAAAAGCGGTCAGTGTCTCTTATAACGTTAGAAATGTAAGCATGGGTCTCTTCTAGACTCCTGTACAAGCCTCCGAGCGGGTGGGCGTTTTAATACTGGATTTTGTAGGATTGTTAACACGCTCTTATATGCCGGCCATCGTACAACCAACCGGCTTCGCGGCGACAAAATTCCCACCCGCTCGGAGGCCTGCACGGGAGGCTAAGCCTCAAGGCGTTCTAATAGACCGATCCCGAATGTCCATCACAATTAAGAATTTCAACCAATGAGAGAGTGACAATTAACGGTTCGACCAATGAGAGAGCGGCTTTATGTCCGTTAAATATTTGCATTTCTATTGTACTAGACAGGTAGCCGACTTTGGCCTTGTGACGTCAATCACGTTCAGGTCCCAAAAAAGGTCTGATGAAAGATTTGATAACAAAACTTAAGGTGAACGGTTTATCTTATTAGTAAATAGAACGTGACGTGTGGGTTAAATACCCATTTACTTTAGTTTATAAATATGTGATCTTGTAAAAGGTTTCTTGTCTAAAGTTAAAACCTTTGATCCAACACAAAGAAGTTCTCTCACCTAGAGCTTTCGATCAGTCGCTCTGGTCTTCCTCAGTAGACTGACCCAGTGAGGCTTGTCACGTGGCTTCTTTGAAGTGTGACGTCAACACTGGGTCAAAGGTATCTGGTAGACGATGTCGGCCCCCGTCGCGGTTGAGTGAAAGGTGATGGGCCCTAGCTGATGTAAATAAAATGTTTCTTGTTTTTTTTCTCTCCCAGGAATTTTCAAAATCGAAGACTCTGTGGAGGTGGCTCGACTGTGGGGTCTCCGGAAGAACCGTCCCGCCATGAACTATGACAAACTGTCTCGCTCCATCCGACAATACTACCGCAAGGGCATCATCAAGAAGACCGACATCTCCCAGAGACTTGTGTACCAGTTCTGTCAGCCCATTGCAGGAGTTACGGTGAAGAAAGAGCCCTGAACTCTCCACGGTTTCGACTTGTACATAGACCACACGTTTAACGTCCACGTTGTATGTAGTCCCTTTTTTTTGTTGGGAAGGAAGATGTTACGATCGAAAAGCGCTGGATCTGAGGCTGTTTTAAAAAGCTGTACTCTGTGTGTTTTGAATTGAAAAGACTATACCATTACAAGCACGTATTCTCAAGGCACATTGCTCACGATGACTTGAAGATAGAAAATGTTGTGCATTTCTATTGGTCCCCAATTGAAAACTGACAGAAATGTCTTTTTGGCGACGCCCCAGGAGCGGAGGTATTTTTACTTTTTGTATAAACTTGAGGCAGACAAATCATCAAGAAATTGATGAAAGAGGAATGTGCAAGTTCATCTGAAAGACGTATCACCAAACCTTCATTGTGTCTGTTTCTTCCACGAAATCTTACTTAGCACCGTTGGTGTGAGTATAGTAAATTGCCCATCCAACACTATTAAAACCACAGAGTACAGCTTTCAATGCTTAATGTAAGATTCAAGTGGCTGCTTTGAGCATCATCATAGAAGAGAAGGCATAAGTGAGCATGCGCGTTCATCAGAATCTAAATCATTGTGATTCGAAGCGGTAAAACCAGGCAACGCGCATGTGTGGAAGGCAGCTACTAACGCTATGGCTTGCGTAAGTGATGTCAGGGCTATACCATTGCAAAAGGGTAACATATTTTGTATACATATTCTTCGTATATTATAGAAAACATATCAGCCCATTCTCGATATGACTAGCAACAGTTACCCATGCATTTCCCTTTGTTTTCAGGTGTTGGTATGTATAAACTAACGAGTTCAAGTGCATTTTCACCCTTGAACCTTTTCAATGGTATAGCCCATGACGTAACAGTAAATTGAATGACGTATGAGAGATTGACTTCCGGTTTGTGACATTTTAAAAAAAGGGGGCGCTACGTTTTTACCTGGGAGGCGGTTTTCTACCTTGGCACAAAGTGTACCTATATTTTTTGATGGAAGATACTTTTGTAAAACCAACACATTCCAAACGTAGATTTGAAAACCTTACGTTGTTGACGAAAAGAGAGTTTATTCCCTAGTCTAAATACGACCATGGTGACAGGATATGGAGAACTTTACACTAATTAAAAAGTTTTGCTCTTCAAATTTTGTAGCCGACGAAGGGGTTGTCCCTGAAACTGTAAAGAAATTAATTAACATATCGGTCAATAAAAGATAGAAGCCGTATTCACTGAGGCAGTTTTCGGATGATCTGAGGATATACAAGAATATTTCAATTGAAAATGGCATTCTAAGCAAAACTCAATAATCTTTGTTCGTGAAAACATAACAGGCATCGTTTCTAGTATGTGAAAGTTATAAGGATATACATAATAAATACTCAAGCTCTATGCAACCTACTTGAAAGAAAAGCTTATTCTAGTTCTGAAAAAGGGCAATAAACTTCGATGTATGACTGTAAATATTGCAATGAAGTGGCAATGTAAAATCTATATGTGTTGATCACTAGTTTCTATGCGATTCATAGATTTTGTATAGTTTAATTGTGTTCATGCCACGACGATAGCTTTATACATGGACTAAATCACTTTTGAACATATCAGACACATTGGTGGAACAAGTGCATCAGTCGATGCAATGTTGTAGGAACGTATTGAATATGTTGGTTACTTCTTAGTCATTACGAACAGAGAGCACGTGTATATACATGACATGTATTATTTTCTGTATCGAGCGCCCAAACAAGAACCGTTTGGTGTAATAAAATGTAACTGAACTACATCTTTGTGTGATTGGAATCCATATAGTTAGCAATCATGGTTCGTGTCCATACCTCTCAAATAGAAACTCTTAAAGAGAAAACTATATTATGATCTGATGACATACTAGAAAAATGTAGTCTGGGTGCCAGACTGTTGCCAGGGCCAGAACACTAGCCTGGTTACCAAACCTATATTTTTATAACTTCCGAGTCCTACAGCCTCTCCGCAAATTAGGACTCGGGAGCTATAATAGGTTTGGTAACCAGGCTACCAGAACACAGGCTAGCTCCACGGCTCCAGGGCTAACATGTCCCCAAGGAAAGTTTACAATGGCCACCCCTCATTCAGTAGCCTGGGTGCCATCCTCCGTAGTTACCTGGCACCTAGGCTACTAACCTGTGTCCTAACCGTGAGGATAGTCTGACAGTCAACACCACCAGTTACCATGGTGATAGACGCTTGGATCAGGTCATTGACTTTGTTTGTTTGTTTGTTTGTTTGTTTGTTTGTTTGTTTGTTTGTTTGTTTGGAGCGAAGCGCAAGAGGAAGAGGAGGAAGAAGAAATAGAGCAAAAACAATATGTTTTCCTTTTTCGAAGTTAAATACATGTTGTATAATGAAAGGATATAAATCTCCACCGCACGGCATACCCAGCATCCACTGCGGAAGGTTATACCAGGTCAAACTAGAACCCACCTGTAAGACTGGTCCTCTGGGTCTAGACTAGGAAGATTTTACTGCAAAAGCATCGCTGTGTTACGTCACTTCAGCAGTTACTAGTATTTTCATAGTTTCTTCAGAGTTAGCAGCCTTTTCTATGTGTTTAGTCCCAACTATTAGTAAAGGAATTGAGCCATCCTGTTTTTGCACAGTTAAGTCATAGTCTCTTGAGACTGACTGACACAGACTAATCCCAAGGTAACCATCAGACCAAAAAAATCGGCTTAATCTCAAGCTGACGGCCAGAGTCGTGAGACAGGGCTTAACGACGATCAAGATCAAAGAACTGCGATGTCAGACGCTATTAATTATTCACAGTTTCACCACTAATTCTGTCAGCTGTCAACCACAAAAGCGAACTGGCTGACGTCTCAGTATTTGGTCTCCTACCCCTTACTGTAGCTATAAGGCCACAGCAAGTAAATTTTATGGATGGCATCCTCCACAGATTCCAAATCTAATGCGAGCGGGCGAAAAAAACAAGGCGGGCCGAAAAAAACAAGGTTCTTACATTTTGAAATTTTGTCTCAATCATTGTACAAATGGTTTTGATTCAATGGGAACATCACATATACACAGCCAACATCACATATCACTGCATCAAAGTAAGAAACAAAACATAAAATCAGAGCCTTGTCTTGTCTCCTCTCTTTATATTTATCTGCCATCCACCTTCCGGCATGGCAACAGACATCTTGGCCTATTTTCGGCATGGTGACCACGGTCAGAAGGCAACAAAATTTCTTGTGTTTTTTTTTTCAAAATCAGGCGAAAATTAATGCGCGTGCGGATGTCATCCATAAAAATTACTTGCTGTGGCCTAAAGTAATAATCTTGTCAGCGACAAGAGAGAGGGGCAGAGAGAAAGAAAGAGAGAGAAAGAAAAACAGACCCAGACAGAGAGAGGGAGAGAGCTTCAGAGAGAGTGTCATTCATTCAAACAATGGTGTGATATCTTTAATTTTGCTGAGTAGGCTTTTCAAAACTTTTAATAATCATACTCTACTTGCCTCCTGTCCGTTCTTTTATTCTGCTGTCAGTTTCTGAACCGTTTGGAACTGACAGCAGAATAAAAGAACGGACAGGAGACATCACGTGACTGTACTGGGGTTAAAAGGTGATGAACAACCCCCGTTTACAGATAGTATTTCGTCATCGACACACCTCACTTCCCCATTGTCTGTAACTCATTGTTTCCCTGTGTGACCAGTAGAACACCACCAACTTTATAGACAGGTAGCGTCTGTAAGAAATATAGCATTCATCTAGGGCTCTAAGGTAAGTACACAGCCTTGTAAGACTACGATATAAACTTAGTTGGAACTAAAAGGTACCCAGGTGTAAGGATTGATAAACAAGACTAGTTACGGTATGTTATAGGCAAAAAGGATTAAAAGTACATGTAGTAGTGGGGAGGGGACTGTGACTTGTAGAACACACCAAATTAGAAACGTAGTGACTGATCTGTAAGAAGTACGGACTTAAGCTTTATCTAGGGCTCTAAGGTAAGTTCACAGCCTTTTAAGTCTTCTAACATTCAGATTTAAACTTTGTTGGGACTAAAGGTACCCATGTATTAAGCAAGGCTAGGCATGGTTGGTTAGGCTAAAAATTAAAGTCCAACAGGCTAGGGGATCGAACTGTGATCTGTAGAACTCCACCAAATCATAAACTTGATAAACACTGGATTAACCTAATGCTCTAAGGTTAAATTCAAAGTCTCAAAAGTCTTCTAACAATTAGATATAAACTGACTAAAGGTACCCAGGTGTAAGGATTGATAAACAACGCTATATAGTCACGGTATGTTAGGCAAAAAAAAAACTAATGTAGCAGTGGGTAGAACACCACCAACTTACAAACTGACTTTATCTAAAGCTTTATCTAATGTATCTTTACAACCTTTTAAGTCTTCTAACACTCGGATATAAACTGTGTTGTGACTAAAAGGTACCCTGCAGCTGGTGTAAGAATTGATAAACAACGCTAGCCATGGTATGTTAGGCCCCATAATTGGGGAGGGGGCTGTGACCCGTAGAACACCACCAGATTAGAGACTTAGTATGTGTAACACACACCTGATGAACCTAATGCTCTAAGGTAATTTGACAACCTTTTAAGTTTTCTAACACTCGGATATAAACTTTTTTTGGGACTCAAAGGTACCCAGGTGTAAGAATTGATAAACAAGGCTAGCCATGGTATGTTAGGCCCCATAATTGGGGAGGGGGCTGTGGCCCGTAGAACACCACCAGATTATAAACTTAGTGTCTGTAACACACACCGGCTTTACTTAATGCTCTTAGGTACGTTCACAACCTTTTAAGTTTTCTAACACTCGGATATAAACTTTATTGGGACTCAAAGGTACCAGGTGTAGGGTAATACTAGCCGTGTGTCAATGAAGGCTAGACATCCAGGTAAACAAGAAAACTATTACTCAATCAACTGGATAGTTTAGACAGTTTTGCAAACTAGGCAGTTTTCAAATCTATCCAGTTGTTTGAGCAACAGTTTGTTTGATCAATTGTCATGTTATGTTATGTTAGGGTAGAAAAAGGGACATAGGAATGGGGAGGGGGACTACGTACTATCAAGTAGTCACTAACTATGGCTTCTGAAATAGATCCCAATCCATTTTACTGGACAGTCATTAAGACATAGAACACTGAAATACCACAGTGGCTATACTGTTTTCAATGCACATTTGGACCCCGAGAACAAAAAAAATTCAACGAAAATATAATCCTTTCTTCCGGTTTTCACATCTGTACTTTAGGACGTCACATCCTTCCGGTTTGTGTACTTTTACACATCTTACATTTGTGACGAAGAAATATGTCTATCCCATGTGTATCAATATTGTAACACCACCCTCTTCAAACGAACTTTCTGGTCAACTACTTTATTTCACAGAAATTGCTTGCCTTTTTTGAAAACATGTGTTGCAAAAATACATTTTCATACACAAAACACGCCACGGTAAGGTTTTGTTGACAGTTTGCAAAGATCCTTCTCGGAATAGGTGACCCGTAAACTAGTCCAACCAGTTTTGGCCAGCCCCTAAATTTGCTTATACAACAACACATGGGGGTGGGGGTGTACAGTGCAGCTGTCTTCATGATAATCTACTGGATATATGGATCATGCATTAAAACCATTGACAAACAAGAATTTGGAGATCTCATACCTCCATGAAATATGTAGAGTTTATGTAAATCTTTTGGGGGGGGGATTTGTCATTTATTATGGAAATAAGGTCGTTATTAACATAATCTAGTTTAATTCATGTTTTTTAAATTAAAATATTTGGCTGGTGAAATTGATATCCTTTGGCAATGTTTCAATTCAACATGTTCTCGATCATTAATTATGCAAATGAGGTAATAAGGTAACTTTCAGTACGGAAACACGTTTGGGTTATCTGGTCTATTCTTCTACCATTACTAATTGCATGGTCTATTCTTACACCATTACTAGTTGTATGAGTCGTCTGTCGGTGACTTCAAGTTTTGTAATTTATACGCATACGAAGTCAATAATGAATGCAGCCAACAATTTCAGCACTGTCTATCTCCTCATTTTAGACAATCGCACTCGAGAACTTTCCTGACTCCAGAATGCCACTGTATGTAGATCTGGTGGAAAAGAAAGAAAAATGCAAGGTGGGAAAACTTTTGATACGTTGTATAGTTTTGAAAATGTTGTATAGTTTTCTTTTGTTGTGTTGTGTTGTGTTGTGTACATGTATGCGTTTGACAATGTAAGCTTAGTATTTTGTAGCTTTATTCTGATATATACTATGTATATCCCATGTATGGTTATATGCTGATATGATATTACTTTTATACCCTTTTGTACTTTTGTACTTCTGTACCCTTGCAACATCATGTAGGATGATGCAAACAAGGGGAAAATGTGGGGGGGGGGCTTCAATTTTGGCCTGGATGCCAGACCGATAACACTCTAGGCTCAGAGTTAGCCAGCGTGCATGTGGATCAGGGCCTACCTGAGGGGGGCTGTGGTATAATTTCCTTGGGGGCATGTTGGCCCAGGAGCCGAGGAACTGGCCTGTGTAGGACAGTCTATCGCCCATATGACACGTCAATTCATGAATACGAACGGCCTGCCGAACCTATCAAGCTCCACTGGTGCACTCTAACCACGCGACAGTTCATGGCACGTTTCCCATACATCATTCAATTTCAAACATTGTTCCCATTTAATTGTTTTATCACAACGACCGTTGGTGTCGAGGGAATCGTCGTTTGTGACAAAAGCGATTGCCATTTATTTTCTGTGGCGTAAAGTGGGAGTACCAGCCAGGATACAAAATAACGGCTAGTTGGTCATCATTGGGCTAAGCCATCGACACCAATAAGCACGTTTCCCTCTCGGTCTCTAGGACATCACTGAATGTTGTATTGTTGAAGCAAGGCAATCAGAGATGGCAGACTTCACCCCTTACTTCTACAGCTGTACATGTATTACTTTGAAGGCACAAAATCAAAATAAACAGCACTGAGGATGTGTATGACAACACTGTATTGTGTACATAGGGAAACACAGAAACATACAGAGAGACTGAGAGAGTGTGTGTGAGAGAGAGAGATGAGAGAGTGAGAGAGAGATTGAGAGTGTGTGAGAGAGAGAGATGAGAGAGAGAGAGAGAGACATTTACACAGACACACATACGGACAAAAAAACACAAAGACACACAGACAGATACGCAAAAAAGGCTACCGAAAGTCACTATTTTCACAACAGACTATCTACTGAATGACACATATACATAGTATATGCGCCTAATCATACGCCATATGTGTGTAATGGTGTAATCCGCTTACGTATAAATCTATATGGTGCACATGATGGCTGTGGATGACACAATTCTGCACCAAACGAGCAAATACAATGTTCAGGCTATCGCGTGTGCCAACCGATGAGTTCACATCCCAAAAAACACACATTTTAAATCAACAACAGCTAAATAATATCCCTAATGTTTGTCAGTATGTCGGAAATCAAACTACTGGCCCACTGCCAATTGTGACTTGAACTTCGAGGCTTTAACTGCAAATAGAAGCATAAGGTGATTAATTCTACCAAACGACTTTTCCCCACACGGCTGAAGTTAATGCAGCAAAAAGGTACGGAACCGATCAATAAATGCTTTTAACCCGGCTGATCGAGACAGACTTTACCGCCGAGCACAACAACACACAACGGCTGTCGTCGCGCTCTGAAAAACCTCAACACAAATATTATCGAACGCCCCCAAAAAAGGGGGCATCGTTTTTTCTGCTGACCTGTTAGTTTGGAAAACAAAATAATGACGACAGAGTCTCTAGACCTCCCCCTAACCGTGTTTGGACCGTTCCACGTAAGGAGGGACTCCGGGTTATGTGATGCCCTTTTGCCACCAAGGTCGGACCAGCCCTCCCCGTCCTGTTCCCTCCAGTCCGCGGGCACCCTTTCCCGCTACTCTGAGACAGACGACCCGCTCACACAACCAGCACGCCTCCATGGACTATCGGGGCTACAGGTAAACGTTCTCTGCAGTTCTTGAGCCAGAAAATGACGCGAAAAGTTTGTGTACCAGCGTAGAAGTCGTGGCTAGTAGACCCTGCCCTATCGGCGTTGTTTGAGTCCCGTAGGGTATCCATGCTGTTGGCTATTTTTGTACGGACGCTGGCAACAGCCGGACAGCGTGGGTTGGAAATATTTGTCCAGTGCAAACCGCGTTCTTACTTATTTAGATGTCTCGTCGTGATATTGAACTTACGTGCCAATGACAGTAACCCTGGCGCATCAAACTCAAGAGTTGAAGTCATGTGTAGAAGAACTAGCTTAGGTTTTGTGTTTTGTTTATCTTGCATCATAACTCACTTGAGTTAGAGACGAAAATAAAGTGATGACGCCTAGAAAGAGATACGGGATAAAATTTCGTCTGATATGAAAGCCGACGCTGTGAAGAGATCATGTCACGATATTTTCAACCTCTTTGTAGCTGATCAGTCTCAAAGCATAGAACTGATGTCCATTTCAATAAACTCGGGTTGTCTTGTTCAGTTCTGACACTATGATATATGGGCGCTCTATAGCTAGATACACTATTGAATTCATGCCTTCTTGCAAGTCTGATCCAAGGATTTAGATATCGGGTCTCTTTGTGTATATATAGCCTGACCGACTTCCACTAGATCCCGAGAACATCTGAGTGTGAACACGGTGAACGCAAGGCATTCAGGGATGCAAGGCATCAAACGTTATGTCGAATAATCGGACAGAAACATTGCTAGATATTAAAATCAGACGTTGCCCGGGAACTGGTATTTCCCTGTCGATATTAATACCGCGGAGAGAGTGTTTTGGCAGGCCGAAGGGTATCGTATATCCCAACTGTTGTTCCAACTGTTTCCTAGAATGTCTGGGAAGCTATGGCGAGTATCTTGATGACGTCGTCACAGCGTTCAGCAACCCTGTGCTAATCGGTCCGAGCTGATATTTGTTGACGGTAGAGATCTGAAGATCTGAGCGGCGTCTTCTCTGCCCGGCTGCCCGGCGTGAACTTTGCCGCCAGGTCAAGTAGCTCCCACCGCCCTAAAACCAATGGTACCGCAGGGTTCCAGCTCGTTTCGGTTTTAACCGACATGCTGTTGACTTTGTTTTTTATTTCTTCTGTTCTGACCTAGACCGGCTTGAGGAGAGAGCGGCCGAGAGAGAGAGGACTCGTCCCGAAGAAGGCCCGATACCCGGCGTGGCAACACTTCAGAAACGGAGACTGCGGCACGATGTTAGGCAGGAAGACCTTCACAGCCGACCAGTACCTCTACTCCAAGTCACCGCTGCTGCACCATGACTTCAAGCAGAAGAAGAAGAAGCACGTGCGGCAAAGATTCGTGGAGAAGAACGGTTACTGTAACGTATCTCACGGAAATATCCGAGAACCCACCAGGTATCTCGTCGACATCTTCACGACGGTGATAGACCTAAAATGGCGGTACAACCTCTTCATCTTCAGCTCGGTCTTCATCACGAGTTGGCTGTGTTTCGGCTTCATTTGGTGGGTCATCTGTTTCGCCCACGGAGACTTCGAGCCGCGAGAGGAAGGCTTCACCCCGTGCGTGAATGAAGTTTACGGGTTCACCTCGGCGTTCCTCTTCTCGGTGGAACACAGACGACGATCGGGTACGGTTCTCGGCACATCACGCCGGAGTGCCCGGAAGCCGTGTTCCTCCTGCTGCTACAGTGCATCTGCGGCCTGATCATCAACGCCTTCCTCTTAGGCTGCATCTTCGCGAAGGTTGCTCAGCCCAAGAAGCGAGCTCACACCCTGATGTTCAGCAACGTCTGCACCATATCGAAGAGAGACGGCGTCATGTGTTTGATGTTTAGGGTAGGGGACTTGAGAAAAAGCCACATAGTAGAGGCGCACGTCCGCGCGCAGTTAATCCGTTCATACACCACTCCCGAGGGTGAGTTTATCCCCGTGTTACAGGAGGATCTAGACGTAGGGTATGACGACGGTTTGGACAGACTTTTCCTCGTTACACCCGTTATAGTGTGCCACGAGATCGACGAGGACAGCCCGTTCTGGGACATGACACCTGAGGAAATTCTCGCCGGGGATTTCGAAGTCGTGGTGATCCTCGAGGGGACCGTCGAAGCTACCGGCATGACCACGCAGGCCCGCAGCTCCTACACCCCCGACGAGATCAAATGGGGACATCGCTTCGAGGCCATCACCACCATCGAGGATGGTAGATACCAAGTGGACTACTCCAAGTTCAACACCACTATTGAAATCCCGACTCCGAGATCGTGTACGCGGGAAATCATGGGCTTCTCCACGCCGACGTCCAAGCGGAGTTCCTCCCGCAGAAGTTCCTCCCTCAGCTCGGGGAAATCTATCGACGACGAGGACGAGGACAAGTCGTCGTCCGGGGTCGTGTTCGAGGATGAACTGAACGGTTCCGTGGGGAACGCCGTGGACAAGTTTGCCTACCCCATGTCGTCCGGCTTGTCTGAGGATGTGAGGACGGGCAGGGTAAGAGTCATACCCGAGAGTAAAGTCTGAGACTTCGTCAGAAAAGGTAGGGACTTTTCCAAGCTCTAAATTTAAAGTCTAAAACTCAAGTGTTAATCATATGCTTTGAAACGTAAATGTTGAAGATTTACTTAAAACACAGTAAGTGTAATTTGAGTTTTTAGTAAAAGTGTATACTTCTGCATGGTAGACATATGACTATTCTGGTATAAATTTGATCTAGCTTTAATTTGTTTGTGTTACATCATACACCGAAATATATATACAATGCTAATTATAGCCTTGTCCTTGTGGGACCATATTATTATTGCCAACAACACAAAAATCGTGAAGTATATAATGTACCTGTAATGTGTACCGTATATGCAAATCACCTCGGCCACTTGTGCCGCCATTGAATGTTGTTGATATAACGTTCAAATCGACATCATTATGGGCATAATCAATATAGATACTCAAGAAAGCAGTTACTGAAGCAACTGGATAAATTTTGAAAAGTGTCAGACGTTTCAAGTAGCATCCACTACTTTTCGTTAGTAACTTTAGCAGTGACAGTAGCATCCACTACTTTTCGTCAGTCACTGGCGAAAAGTAGAATATACTACATGTACTTGAATCATCTGACAGTTTTGAAAACCCATCCAGCTGCTTGAGTAACTGTTTTCTTAAGTACCTCATTACCTTGGTGTCTAACCTTCACCGATGCATCAATGTATTTAATGGTCATTTACTACTGAAACTTTGCGTGTTGTTGCTGGTTAAGAAATCAAATTCAAGAGTGGAAGACCTATCCAAATAAAATGGCTGGCGTAGCACGTATTGTCACGGCCTTGTTATACGTTGTACTGACACAAATCGCAATGAACTGGTTCGAAAAACAATGTAACAGCACGCTAAGTAACGTGCTCTAATGGACACCAAAATACAAAATCATTCATCCAAACAGACACGGGTGGCACGTACTAGTACGTATATTGCCACTGTCTACATGTGCTGTGTGCCTCTGTTGTAGATGGTCCCATGTTAACACAACTGATTGAAATTACCAGCCCACCGAGTAATAACGTAGGGTAATGGAGACTGAAACGTAATTCGTCAAATGGATCCTTTCGTCGATCTGTGTTTAGTGCTCAATACATGGTACAATGCAGTACTATTAACGTAGAAAATAGGAAACAATTACTATGTCCATGAACTAGTTTAAAGGCTTAAACATTTGATATTGATGCTTATTTTTTTAACCTTTTTTGCAGATTCTGTCATATGGTGAAGTTGGTGACCACAGAAATTCTTCAACTACTCAAGGATGGGATGGCTACCGTTCTTACCACAACTCATCTTTAAAAAAATCTGACTAAGTCTAAGGTGTAAATATCATGAACTAAGGTACACGAGTGTTGTGTCCCTCAAAATGCGTCACTTTTCATTCTACATGGAAAAACAGAGGTCACATTATGTCTATAGCGAAGATCTGACCATCGAACAATCATCCGAACTATGCAGAACTACTGCCACGTGTAGTGGATATACGTACATATTGATATATGCCACTGTTGCTGGTAATTCTAAAGTGTAAGACTACAATATGCTGCTCTTGCAGATCTTTTCGGCAACTGTATACGAATTCTCCGACCCACTTGTGTTTTCACATGTGCAGCCAATTGATATTCTTTTGTAAACATGTTCTAGAAGCTATTTGTTGCAGGCCTGATGTTTCAAAGTAGGCTTATTTGAAGCCTTATGTTCTCATGTAAGCTAATCTCCAAGCAGATATGTCTGGCAGCAAAGCGTTAGTGTTAGAACTGGCCATCTAGAGACAGTCCTCAGCCACAATGGACACTCCTCTGGCCAATGGATAATATCTTGCCACTGTATGATCTGCTTGGAGATTGATGTAAACGTCGATTTGCTTCGTGGTTCTGTTGCAACATTATCATGTTTTGTTGACTAGAGTAGAGATGATATGTGACCAACAGCTGTTCCAACAAGCGGCGGTCAGAACAATCCTGCCCGCTGGTCATTTATTCGGGACATTTCTGGTGCTATTTTAGTGTAGTAGAAATGACATACGATACTGCCGTGTCTTCCACATGCTGGAAACTCAGAGGTTTTGTAATAAATGCTTTTTTATGTTCATGATTGGGTCGGAGATAGTTATAAAATTTGCCGGTAAAATGTTGCTATTCGGTACTCGGATTAAAGTTATGTTGCTCATACTTCGACTCTGAGTCCTATTTTGCGTTCATACTTACTCCACACAGTCTATAGCTTCCAAATCTTCATTACATCAACGTATGAGTGTGTGTGCGTAATCAAGAGACAGTGGAATACTTTGCATTCTCAAAGTCGTTATTCCTTGATAGTTGCAATGCTTGTACATACGCCTCTATCAGGCTTTAATAGGAAGCGGCTGGAAAGACTAGAAACAGGCCAAATAGACAGATAACATGCCAGGCGAGTTGGTTCGCTACGTAGTACATTTCATATTATACTGAACTCTTTTGTGAGCCAACTTCCCTGTCAATTTTTACTCTTTCCAGTCGCTTCCGAAGCCTGGTAGAGGCTTATATACAAGTATCGCAACTATCAAGATACTAGAATAACAAGATTATTTATCCCATTTATTTAGCACTAAAAATAACACATCTAGTCATGCCGTACATACAGATACAATAAATGGAATATATCTAGTAGGCTGTTGAGTGTACAGAGAGGAATGGTCTAGTACTGAAAGACACAGATAGTCTACTAGTTCAATCAGTAGCAATATATGCATATAGGGCCATAGGGCAGGTTTATCGTTACCATCACAATACTCATAGCTGGCATATATCCAGACTGTCTTGTTCTATGGGACCGCTATTTCCCATCGTTTAAATGTCACTGCATGCCAACATGATCCTATACGCCTTGAAACATGCATAACAATCCTAAATTTGGAAACCAAACACTTGCACCGACGTATGATATGATATGATATCATATCATATGAGGATGCAGTAGTTTAAGCTATGCACTATAGCAATCAATAAAGATGTCTAAGATGATCAAATCACGATTATCATATCGCAATTGACATATTTCTGGGACACGGCGGTCTAAGTTTTATATTATTGCTTTTAAGATTTTATTTTTATTTTGATATGCGTAGGTCAACTCTAATCCTTGTTGTCACTTGATAGGTCACGTCTCTGTATTAATTTACGAACATAATATGGATTGATAATATGCATAAGCTTGAACTGACATAATATGAGTATCTAATGTTTAGTATGTCAGAAATATCACTAAAAGACTGAAGAGCATCCATAGACTGATGTAGATAGATTGTCTCTTCCGTTACGGTAGTAAGATGAATATAAAGATAAAGCTGATCACGGCGTAATATCATGCTACGAATATGTTACCATGTTTACTTTCAGAACCCGATCCGACTTGTATCTTGGTGCGGATTACGTGCTATTGTTACCGTATCGCCTGCATTACATCGTGCAGAAATTTAAACGTTGACACCCCATGGGATAGTTGAGATTCTACGAGTGGTCAGTGATCTGGTCTAACCCGGTCAGTGCGTAAACAAGGAAGCAAATTTGGCGAAGATGTAATTAACACAACTGTGCCAATGTTGGCGTGGACCTTGCCAACTATATGTTAAATGTTCAAGGCCAATGTTTGGTTAAACTGAAGTGACTGCATGTTGTGTTATGTCAGTAAAGTTTTATGTGCAATAGGAATAGGATTTCGTGCAGTATCTATCACAGAACGTTTACAGATAACTCAATTTATGCTAGCTGCCTGTTCCCTTTATGGTGGATTTCTTTCTGCCCGTAACTAGGTTTTTAACTGTGGTCATTCTGCTTTTATAATAAACTGAACTGAAAGTTTATTGCAAATACATGCCCGAGGGCTAATTGCAGTTACAAACAACAAAAGAAAGAAAATACAATGCTATGTGAGACTATATCTACATCCGTAACATTATACTATACTCTACAACATACATGGTACAAGCTATAGTTTTACTGGGTTTGACTTCTTCTTTTTAGGCAATGGAAGACGAATTTACCCACTTCTTCTATAATATGTGGGTTCTTTTCAGAACAAGCTTGGCCCTTTTGTGACATATATATTTAAAGACAGATCTTACAATAACATTAGCAGCTGATCTAACCGTAAGTTTATAAATGGAAGATATGCCAACTAAACTATTGTCAGCGCTGCAGACTGTTGTGTTGTCTCGTATTTTACGACGCAGCCCGTTACTTTTTATTACATTGCCCCTTTTTGCATTGGTTGAATATGTAGATGGCTGGACGGGTGATATATGGTTTGAACACACATAGTTCTTGGTGTCTCACGGAGGGAACCAAAGCATATTCGCCATGACATTGACGGCGCGGAATGCCAGTTTTCCAGATTTGAGATGTCAGCGTGTCATGGCGGCCACGTTCCTGCCATATCTGCGCTCGGGACGACCCTATCTCTGGGAGGATGTTGACGGCATTCCTCCCACGGCCGGGAGTCAGCGGGTGGCGCCTGGGCACACTGTTATCAGCACACAGGCGTCCTGTTTGGAGCTACCGAAAATAGGCCGAAATGTGTGATGGTGAACCTTTCCCTCTCCTTTTGGTTCTCCCCTGTCCAGCCGCACCGTATGAATGGACGATAGTTTTGGTCAAGGCTTGAGGCTCTGAGTGGCGTAACAGCCGGGAATACTGGCTAGAGAGAGAAGGTTAGTCTTGTATGGTTTGCTGTCAGGGAGTGGCGTTTTGTAAAGAAGATTTGCTACTAGAGAACCGCTCGTCGACATGTTGTCGGACAGAGGCTTGGTCAGCGATTTCCTGTACAGATCTCCCCTCGCGGCCCTCCGCCGTCTGCCGAAGGCACAGAAGAAGGAACGCCGGCGTTTCGTCGAGAAGGACGGGGGATGTAACGTTGTCAACAGCAACATCGGGGAGCCAGGGAGGTACCTCGACGACATCTTCACCACGGTGGTCGACCTTGGGTGGCGGGAAATCCTGCTGATCTTCACCTGCATGTTCGTGCTGAACTGGTTCGTGTTCGGCTTCCTGTACTGGATAACGGCCTTCGCGCACGGGGACGTAACGTTCGGGTCGACGGCCACCAATGATGGCGGGGACCTGTGCTTCACGTACGTTAACTCTTTCACCACGGCATTCCTCTTCTCGGTGGAGACTCAGGTGACCATCGGGTACGGTTCCCGGGCTGTGGGGGACTCCTGTCCCGCAGGTATGTTTGTGTTCATCCTACACAACGTGCTAGGGCTCATCACCTCGACCTGGCTACTCGGCATGGTGTTTGTCAAAATAGCACAGGGCGGTCGGAGGGCAGAGACCCTACTATTCAGCAAGAATGCTGTGGTCTGCCTCAGGAAGGAGAAGTTATGCTTGATGTTAAGAGTGGGAAATTTGCGCCACAGCCACATTTTTGAAGCCCGGGTCAGAGCGTTGCTGCTCAAGCCCAGACTGACCAAAGAAGGGGAGGAGGTCGTGGTGGACCAGACGGAGATAAACGTCGTTCATAGCGGCACAGACAGGCTGTTCGTGGTGGCACCTGTCACCATCTATCACGAGATAGACCAAAAAAGCCCGCTGTACGACCTCTCACCCGACGAACTGGCCAAGTCCGAGCTGGAGCTGGTGGTCATGTTTATCGGGATCGTGGAGAGCACGGCGCGGCTCACATACTTCATGAGCTCGTACACGACTGACGAGGTTCTGTGGGGACACCGCTTCATGGAGTGCGTGTCGGCCCAGCCGGGCAGCTACACGGTGGACTACACACACTTCCATGACACATTCCCCACCCCCACCCCGGCCTGCAGCGCACGGGAGTACGAGGAGAAACTGGACGAGCAGGGGCAGAGACGGGTGGTCAGGTTCGAGGACGAGATCGTCCGGTCAAGAAACGCACTGCCTCTGGCCGCTGCGGCAACCGGACATGCGTCATGACAGTGCAGAACTGCTGACCACCATTTTAACCGAATATTGGTGCTAGCGTAACCAGAAAGTTAATAACATGAGGAAATTGGAACCTTTTACTGAATGGCAACTGCCAATGTGTATTGCTGCAATAGATAAACTTTCACATTGACAAAATGGATTGAAAGTATGATAAAATGCTAAGAACCTTGAATGAGGTTATGTGCTACACCTGAACTCCGCAAGGGATAGATTTCAAATCAGACACTTGACGCTGTACTGTAGGCGTTACTCAATACATTAAGTGATGTATACGAATTGACAGTATATTAGTAGGACTCGGTTATAGAATTTCAACGAAACACAAGTTTCCTTTTTCCCCTTTGTGATTTGGGGAGAAAAAAGTGTGTGTGACATTACGCTTTGCGTCAAAGCTTCTTGAAGACCGATAAAACCCTACACGCTGCTATACAGTACTGAAATGCTTGTCATATCATAGCTGCTATGTTGTCCCACTTGGTGAATAAAAAGGAACATGAGAAGCAAATGGTTGGCGGTGATTGGTTCATGTCTTTAATTGAATCCAGGAACTGTTACAAGTGCATAGCAGTGATACTTACACCAGAGATTAGGTAGTAGAAGATATGGTTCAAATATTCCCCTCAGATATGAAAGTTGCGCATCTCTTAAGTTACATCCAGTATTCGTTACGAATATTTAGGTATAAAGTCGTACTTAATTAGCTACAAATTAGTACATATGCAAAGCACCATAATCAAAATAATGCGGAAAAAACAAGTTCTTAAATTGACGATTGCATCAAGTGTATGGATGGAAATATCCCGAGGTATGTTGCACGTTCCATATGGATAAGTCAACTTATTTGTGATATGTGGAAATGCGGTCTACTATATCAAACTGATAAAAAAGAATCGACTAGCTATATCATCTTAAAAATTTTAAAAATTAAATTCTAGAAATTTTTAGAAGTGTGCTCTCTTCAAACTGAAGTTAAGACTATACTATGCAGCCCTTACACTTAATAACATATGCAAGTTAAGGAAGTAATATAGGTTTTCAACTTTGTTGTAAGTCATTGTATTAAAACTACCCACGTCTTTAATTTCATCGTTTAAGTACGACAGCACCGTTGATTAATCATAGCCAGTCATTTAATGCACACATTTATATATTATATAAATGTTATATAAACATTTATATATTATATAATATATATAAATGTTATATTATATAAATGTTATTAAGTAATAGAGAAGACAATTGAAAGCTGCACCGTTGTGGATCTGTTCTTCAAAGACCGATAACGTTGGTCGTGATCTCGTAGTTCTCTGTTTAAGAAACACGGAGTGGTCCTGTTCCAGTCAGTTGCAGTGGCTTTAGCCGTTGATTATACTGTGAAGGAGAAAACCACAAGAACATGTATGATACAGGTTTATTCAAATTAAGGAGGGGCTAGCCTCTACTAGGCTTCGGGAAGCGGCAGCTGGAAAAAGAAAATAGAAAAGTAGAAAAACGAGTGGTACAGTTGCCCCCTCCGGAGCTGTACTCTCTCGCGGACCGACTCTCGGCCTGGCATTTGACCAATTTCTACTCTTTTTAGACACTTCCTAAATCCTGGTAGAGGCTAACAAGGAGTCCTTTTCATCTTGGGATCGCCACTGATTCACGTGATCAACTCCTCTCTGGCTTCTGTTCCAAACACTGGCCTATGACCTGGCCAATGACCTGATTTGTTGACGTCTGTCACAATGCTAACTGGTGTTGGGTTACATGATGTTGCATTTTAATAATAGGAGGGATTTAGACTCCTGTCTGACCATATATATGAATGTATTTTGGTAAGAATTAACAGAGCAGACCATGTGCGAAGGGAAACATTATGCATTTGCTTTGCAAATGTTACCTTTCTAGTTTTATACGTTTTATGTTTTCGCTTATCAAAGTTACACTCGGGCATCGACTATTCAGCGATATGGCATCGTCTGTTTCAAATTGCAACGACCGTTAACCGTTTGCGTTTACGAGACGGAAACATGCATTGCCGTAACACAAGCCGTACTTACGCGGTCCGAGCAGAGTTCTGTTTTCTCCTGTTCAACTTCATGTCGTCCGGTCGGAACACGCAGCGGAGGGACTTGATGTACCCCTTGTCCTGGACCCCTGAGGTCCAGCCATCATCGAACCACTGGACACGGATGTCCTTGGTCTGCTCACAGGCGTACTTCGCCTGGAGATGAGATACAAGAATGTGTACGGTCATGAAAAATGGAGGTATTGTGGTTGGTATGTCTGTGTGTGTGTGTGTCCGTGTGTGTGTCTGTGTTTCCGCATGACCTTGCAATGAATACGGTTGGGTTCAGTCTGTCCCAGAGTGAGAAAGTCATTAATCACGTCTGCATCTGACAGCGCTCGTTGTTTTTACATGTACATGTATTTTTTTCGTTACATGACCTCCTTGACAGCTTGTGTTCTTTCCCTTGCATGATATAAAGAAAGACTTGTGGACATCATTGTGAATGAGAAGAGGACAAAGTCACCATCACACAAGATCTAGATGTGAGGTGTAAAGGCTTAAATTAAGGGCGTTTAATTGAATTAATTTAATTCGTTTTGCCTCGTCAAACAGCTAATAAGCGTTGACATGTAAAGACAACACGCCACGTGTGTACGCACCAGAACCATCTGGAAGACCAGGCCGTCTTCTTCAAACAGCGTCTGACAGAAACTCTTGACGTCGGACTTTTCCTTTCGGAAGTTCTTCTGAGTGGGCTTTCCCACGCGTCCGGTCCATCGGCTGCTACACGTCACGCCATTGGCCATGCGCTGTCCATTAACCCTGAGTTGACGAATAAGAACCTTCAACACATATACAGGTTTGACTGTACTTACGCCTTGTTTTTTGTTTTCCTTTCTTTCTTTTTTGTGTGTGTTTGTCTGTCAAGGTTGAATTAAACCATGCCAAATGATATTAAAAGACAAAATATAATTTTTTTGCAATTTGAGTTGCGAAAACCATAAATCAAAATAGGTTGTGCTAATTACATCCTTTTTGACACAACCAATGACACAAACCCATAGAAGCAAGCATTTACAAAAGCTCGAAATATTTCATGGAGGTATGAGATCTCCTAATTCTTGTTTAGCATGTATGTGGAAGACTTACTCGACGTCCATACACTCGTACACCTGTAGGTTAGCGGCCTTGTACTTCCGGGTACTTCCGCACCTGATCTCCTTCCCGTCTAGGTGCTGCAGGCTCTTAAACCCGGCTATTGGATGACAGAAAGATACACAGACAGATATATCAGAAATGATCAGGCAAGGGAGGATGGAGCTAACCTGGTATCCAGTCTATCGTGGTTAGGGCAGGCTGTCTTCGGGGCTCTAATAGCTTTCCCCCGCCCAGTACAACAGACCGCCCGGTAGGTAGGAACTTTGCTAATAGAGTTTGGCGCGCCGCGAGTTGATTTGCCCCACCACGAATATTGGGCCTAATCAAACTCCCGCCGTGAAAAACCTACCGGGGGAACCTAGCTCAGGCGGGCGGGGAAGAGCTTCAGCAGCCCCGAAGAAAACCCGCCCCGACCACGATAGACTGGATACCAGGTTATGATGCAGCTCACTGGGCACTGTGTGATACACCCTAGGCTATAGGCTGGTGGAAAGCGAGCCATTTTGATACACGCACTCCTTGTCACTCCTGCCTGATGTCCTCCATGATGATGATGAACCTGTACTGACATTTTGAAAGGCATTTTGGGCCACAGTTGGAATGGAAGGATTGCTGAGAATTCCCTATTCACTAGCTGAATCGTAGAAGCTTGCTATTCTTCGAGGAGCGTTGCAATTTGTATTCCCTGATATTATATTCGATTAGGTGATACAGGTGAACATGGAGGCACACTTACATGGCTGCTCACACTTCTCTCCCATCCATCCCGGCAGGCACCGGCACGTGCCATCATGGCCGCACTCCCCGTTGATACATGTCAGCGCTGTGCACCTTTGTGCCCTCTCCTCCTGACAGAACGACCCTGTCCAATCTGGAAAAGAAAGAAAGAAATGTTTGAGTTCAGTTCAAATCAACAGTGAAACTTGACTTCAGTTATCTTGTTTACGGTGTAGTACATGAAGGTACAAATGATGATCAGCATCTATGTAGTCATTAACCTCCAAGCAGCTTCATTCGGGTATAGGGGACGATCAAATTGGCCACCCGAGTTACCAATTTGCCGTGTTGGATATTGTCTGGCCAATTTGATACTGTTGCTAATTTTATACTGTATTGCTGCAGCCAAAAGATTTGCTTGGAGATTTATAATATGTAGTAACAGTCATCGTCCTTGGAAACGATTTTGTTACTCCGCCATCATGGCCGTCTTTTTGTGCTCTTTGTTTTGCTCTAAATGGTCGTGATTAGTACTACTTTGTCGTTTTAGTAATCGCCAGTGCAGATTAGAGAGAGAAGAGTATTGACCTGCTGTGCATGCGCAGTTTCCGTCAGCTCCGCAGGTGCCGCCATGTTGGCAGCGGCAGCGGTCACAGTTCGCGCCTGCCCAGATCGCCGTGCAGACACACCGGCCTGCCGCGTCACACGTCCCGCCGTTCTCACACGAGCATGCGCGGTTCTCGCACCTAGTTCCAGTGAAACCTGAAGCCAAAGGAAGACGGGTATTCAATGGTGCATTTAAAATATACGATTACAATTTCACGCCTCCGCCCCTAAGGCGTCGCCAAAAAGGCAATTACTTGACTGCAAGTTTTACTTCACTGTTATATAGAATGTAGGTGTTGCCTCCGCCCTTAAAGCGTTGCATAAAAGGCAATAACTTGACTTCAAGTGTTACTTTACTGTTGTATAGAAACACCTAAATTCTATGCAACAGTGAAGTAAAACTTGCAGTCAAGATATTGCCTTTTTGGCGACGCCTTAAGGACGGAGGCATTTATTATCCATTGAAACATGTAAAAAAGAGGTTTCAAATTCACCTGGGAGACACCGACAATGTCCGTCCGGTCCGCATTCTCCGCCGTTGACACAGTCGCAGGTACTTTTGACTTCACACTTGTCCCCGCTGTAGCCTGGTCTACAGCGACAGCGACCGTCCGCCCCGTCACTCGCCGCCGTTGTAGCCAGAAACATGACGGTGTTACAGGCGTCTCACACTGCGGCCCTGTGTATTGTGGTGGACAGCGACACCTTCCGTCGGGGCCACATTCTCCACCGTTGTAGCAGACGCATGTTGGAGGTACGATAATCTCGCACTGATCTCCTCCAAAGCCGGGTCTACACCTACAGCGACCGTCCGATCCGCACTCGCCGCCGTTGTAGCAGACACATGACGGTGTTACAGGCGTCTCACACTTCGGCCCTGTGAACTGCGGTGTACAGCGACACCTTCCGTCGGGGCCTACATTCTCCACCGTTGTAGCAGACACATGGCTGAGTAACAGGCGTCTCACACTGCGGTCCTGTGAACTGCGGTGTACAGCGACACCTTCCGTCCGGACCACATTCTCCACCGTTGTAGCAGACGCATGTTGGAGGTACGATAATCTCACACTGATCTCCTCCAAAGCCGGGTCTACACCTACAGCGACCATCTGGTCCACACTCGCCGCCGTTGTAACAGACACATGGCTGTGTTACAGGCGTCTCACACTGGGGCCCTGTGAACTGCGGTGGGCAGCGACAGACGTTGTCTGGTCCACATTCGCCTCCGTTGTAGCAGACGCATGTTGGAGGTACGATGATCTCGCACTGATCTCCTCCAAAGCCTGGTCTACACCTACAGCGGCCGTCTGGTCCACACTCACCGCCGTTGTAGCAGACGCATGGCTGTGTTACAGGTGTCTCACACTTTGGCCCTGTGAACTGCGGTGTACAGCGACACCTTCCGTCAGGTCCACACTCGCCGCCGTTGTAGCAGACACATGGCTGTGTTACAGGCGTCTCACACTGCGGTCCTGTGTATTGTGGTGGGCAGCGGCAGACGTTGTCTGGTCCGCATTCTCCACCGTTGTAGCAGACGCATGTTGGAGGTACGATAATCTCGCATTGTGAACCTCCGAATCCAGGTCTACACCTACAGCGACCGTCCGGTCCACATTCACCGCCGTTGTAACACACGCATGTTGGAGGTACGATAATCTCGCATTGTGAGCCTGTGAATCCAGGTCTACAGCGACATCTTCCGTCGGGGCCACATTCGCCTCCGTTGTAGCAGACACACTGTGTAGTTGTGGACGTTTCACATCGAGGGCCTGTGAAGCCTGGCCTACAACGACACCTTCCGTCGGGTCCACACTCCCCGCCGTTGTAGCAGACACAGACTTTGGGCGCGACAGTCTCGCACTGCGGGCCTGTGTACCCTGGTGGACACCGACACCTTCCGTCAGGGCCACACTCGCCGCCGTTGTAGCAGACACATGGTGGAGTGACGGCAGTCTCACATTGAGCTCCCGCAAATCCAGGTCTACAGCGACACCTACCGTCCGGTCCGCATTCGCCGCCGTTGTAACAGACACATGGCTGGGAGATAAGCGTCTCGCACTGCGTTCCTACGTAGCCTGGTCTACAGCGGCACCTACCGTCAGGACCGCATTCCCCGCCGTTGTAGCACACGCACTGTACAACGACTACCTGACACTGCTCGCCGGTGTATCCAGGTCTACAGCGACACCTGCCGTCTGGGCCACACTCTCCTCCGTTGTAACACACGCAGCCTGTTATTGGGGTTTCGCAAAACTGTCCGGTGTAATCAGGCCTGCACCGACAGACACCATCAGAACCAAGTTCTCCGTGAATGCACTGCGGAACAATCGGAGTATCGCAGAGAGTACCCGTGTACCCAGGCGTACACCGACAGACGCCGTCTGCGCCGCATTCCCCGTGGACGCACGCACAGAGTCTGGTGTTACACCTCGGGCCTCCCCAGCCTCCCTGGCACCTGCAGGTCCCGTCAGAACCGCACTCCCCATTGACGCAGTCACAGCCTTCGCGTGTTTCACAATTGACTCCTGAAAATCCCTCCGCGCATGTACATATGCCCGTGACGTGGTTGCATACGCCGCCATTTTGACAGGTGCACTCGCGGTCGCAGTTCTGCCCGAAGAATCCTGCCGGACACTTCGACTCGCACTTCTGTCCCGTCCACCCGGGTAGACACTGGCACCTGTCGTTCACGCACTGTCCGCCGTTCTCACAAGAACACGGCGCCCGTTCGCAGTAGTCGCCCTCGTACCCTGCCAGACACGTGCAGGCCCCGGTGATGTGGTCACACGCGCCGCCATTCTGACACACGCACTCCTTGTCACACCTGTCGCCGTAGAAGCCGATCGGGCACGGCTCGCTGCAGGAGGACCCCACCCAGCCCGCCGTGCACATGCACACGCCGTTGTACCTGTCACAGATGGCGCCGTTGTAGCAGACGCACTGGTTGATACAGTTCGGTCCGTAGAAGTTCTGTCGGCAGGGGTCGTCGCAGCGGGCTCCCGTCCACCCGTCCGTACACACGCAGCCGGTTTCTCTGTTGCAGACCGCGCCGTTCTGACAGTCGCAGGTGAAGCGGCAGTCGTCGCCCCAGGTGTCCGCCGGGCACTCCTGCCCACAGTCGGTGCCCGTGAAGCCCGGAACGCAGGCACACACGCCCGTGATGTGGGAGCACGTCCCGCCATTCAAACATGGTCCACATACCTGCAGACAGTCCACTCCGAACGTACCTGAAACAGCAGACATTCAACACAGTCTCAGTCAGCAGTATATCAAACAATGCAACACTCTAAATATGTAGACCTTCCAGTTTGCAAAGGATGCACTGTCAGATGAAAACATGATAGTTTTGATAATTCGTTATACTGAAATGTAATTTTCTTTTAGATGAGTAGTAGTCCATAAGCTCTCATTAAATCGACGTTTGGGGTTATGGAAAGATTATTGATTATTGTGAAATATCAATGGAGGATCGTAAATATTGAAATACCTGCGGTACACTGGGTCTCACAGTTGGTGCCCTCATACCCGGCTGGACAGGTGCAGGTTCCGTCCACGGGGTTACACTGTCCGCCGTTCTGACACAGACACGTCTCCTTGCAGCTCTCTCCCCAGGTCCCGACACACGGCTGGTCACAGTTCGGCCCGCCCAGCCCGGCCGGGCACAGGCACTCCCCCGTCACGCTGTCACACACCGCCGTCGGGTGACAGACGGGACACTCCCTGTCGCAGTTCTTGCCGAAGAAGCCGGTGGGGCACGGGGTCTCGCAGTTTGTGCCGGTGAAGCCGGGGGGACAGTCGCACGCCCCGGTCTCCGGGTTACACACGCCGTTGTTCGTGCAGGTACATCGCGACCGGCAGTTGGCACCGAAGAAATTGTCCGGGCAGCGCATGTTACAACTACGATAAGAGAATTCGAAATAAGTTTGTTATACGGGCCTAATGAAGGCATCAAATGCAGCTTCAGGGCGGCAAAAATGGATTTTCAATTTTCTAGTCAATCTTTTAACGTAGTAAAAAGTTGAATCAATCCTATCCCATAACAAACTGATATCTGTAAGGCAAAACTGCGATGTCGCTGACGGAAAACGGTTGCTTGTTTTGTATCGCAAGTTAGTTCTAGCTATCTATGGGTGGTACCAAAAAATAAAGAGACTCCTCTCGTGGCTTATTTTGGTCTATATCAAACGCTTCAAGTACTAGTATGAAATAATGATGCAAATGTGCTAAGAAATTCCTACAAATGTTGATATCAGACAGATTATCTCATCCAGAATATTCTTTTGCCGCCCTGAAATTGCATCGGATGCCTTTAAGGGCTGATCGCTAGCGACTAAGGGCAGGGACGTACGTAAATATGAAGATTTTTTTTTAATAAGAAGTGAGTTGTGGTACATACTCCATCCCGATCCACCCGGCGTCACAGGCGGTACAGGCCCCGATGATGACGTCACAGCTCGCCGCGTTCACGCATGCGCACTTCTGCTCGCACGCCGGGCCGTAGAACCCCGCCACGCATGTGCAGACGTCTCCCGCCCCGCACACTCCGCCGTTAGCACAGGCCGGCACACAGGCTGGGAAAGGAAATCAACAGCCTCCAATTTAATTCCGGACTAATCTGTATCTGTACCTGTATAGCCGGTATAACCGCCTTTCGGCGTAACACACCAGCTGCACAGGCACGCGGCGCGGCGGTAGCTGGCTATATATTACACCGATCGACTTGTTACACCTAACCCTTGAACTTCTAACTCTAGACATTGTTTAAAGCTATCTAATGACAATGCCCCTACTGTACTTGGTGACAGTGAGTTCCGCTCTGCGATAGTTCTAGGAAAGAATGAATTCTTGAACACCTCAATGCCCTCAATCCTTGGTTGATAACTCTGGTACTTGAAGGCATGGCTATTTCTTGTTCTCTTTTGGGCTGGTATTAGGTACTTAGTACTTGGGACGTGCACCAGTTTATTAGTCACAAAGTCCCATATCTCAGCTGCCTTATATCTAGATGGGTTAATATCGTAAACTATAGGTAAAAATGATGTAAGGAATGCATATATGTAGCAGCCATCGAGGACCCCTTGGGGATTAACCCAATTCTGCAGAATATAGAACTGGAGCCAGAATTCTGTGCAGAATTCTGCAGAATTGGGTTAATCCCCAAGGGGTCCTCGATGGCTGCTACATATATGCATTCCTTACATTATTTTTACCTATAGTTTACCATATTAAACCATCTAGATATAAGGTTGCTGAGACATGGGCATAAGTCCGAAATTAAACTGGAAGTCCGGAATTAAACTGGAGGCTGTTAATCATCTTTGACTGAATACTGAATACATTAAAACCCTTACATGCGCCTTCTATATCCTCTTTCACAATCAGCCTACGATTTTTGGTTGTAAAAGTTTCAACGGGGCTACTGCAACACTGACCCGTTCTAGTTGGAAAAAGGCGTTAACTTGACACATATACAATACATATTTCCCACAGTAAAATTCCTCACAGATGATTCCTTGATACGTTTTCCTGAATAAACGTCTGAAAACAATTTCCTCAGTCGTGAAGAACATATTCTCGATACTAGATTACTATGAGCTCAACGTACGGGTGCACAGAACGTACACGGGTACTGTATACATGTATGTGCGTTAGAATCACAGAGGGGGCGTAGTTACATGTACCACGCACTAATTATAAAACTCATGCTGTACGAAAAGTGTAAGTCAATGTAGATTACATCAACACCTTTCTTCTCTCTCCACAAAAACACAAAATCTGCAGGCTAAGACCCGTGATCTAAAAAGCAACCTTTGTCGACTAGCTGCCAACCCAAGTACTAGTAACATGACAAAAAAAAAGAAATAGAAAAATTAAACTGTTTCTTACTTTGTCCATCTACGCCAGTCGTCCATAGTCTAAGAACAATCCAGAGGCAAGGAAAAATGTAGAAATTCCTCTCCCTCATTTCTTCATGAACGATCTTACAACTCTTCCTCCAAGAAACCGTACCAACCGTCCTCCTTCCTGGTGCGACCTAAACTGTGAGAACTAAAAGGCGGTGTCCGGAAAACTCTCCCTATTTGAGTCTCCCGGCCGGCATGTTTAGTCGTTCACAGTGCCGTGAGGAGGGAATATTTCTACTTCTCATAGATTGTCATGGCGTCGGCCTTCGTATAGGCATGTGCAGTATGTAAACAATAGAACCGTTACGATACAACTTTGAGAAAGCTTAAGTACTGTCCATAGCAAGGTCGAACTTTTGCCGACTAACGTAAGTCGTAAGATAAAGGAGGTATATAATGTTTCTGACAAATTTAAATTTTCTCTCGTCATTTTCATTTCGTGATATCTAACATCGTAAAATTGTTGTTGCATATTCTTGTGTAATATACACTCTTTTCCGTTCAGAAATTGTACTTTTGAGCGCTCACATCATCAAACTATTACGATTTTGTACTCTTATGCAAAAAGGTTAACGAGCGGAACAACTGGGATATTTGTGCAATCTTTTAGATGAAGATATACATTTTGTCACAGCATGATAAAACACTGTACGTAATAGCGATATCAATTCTTCTGCTGACAGTTCCAATGACACATATAGGAACTTTCTTGCTGTCTCCTATGCCTTCCTAGACGACAGGAGTTTGGTTAGTGTTGGGCTAATTGAACGCCCGGGCAGCCCTGTTGAACTGGGCGGCTGGGATCGTCTACGGGCCCGAAGACAGTCCGCCCAAACCACGGTAGTCTTGGGTAATGTCTTCCCCTTCTGACGTTTTATGATAAGAAGCTAACCTTACCGGAAGATAAGACTTCCGGCGCAGGACGACAGTGTGTCCCACAGGCGGGGTCTTCTGTCGTCATCGGCAGGTTGTTGTGACACGTCAGCGGAGACAGGGAGACCGGGAGGTCCCGGAACGAAGGTCAAGTTCGAAAACCTACATCCATCATACACAAGTACCCGGGGTATGTTTCCCCATTTCATACATCTTAGCAACACAGATAAGTTCATATTTCTAATGGCTTTAGACAAACCTTCGATCATAAAACACATCTGTGCTTATATCTACATCATCACTAAGAAGCGAGAAGAAGCAGAATTATCGTAATTATTAGACTATATGTCCATAGTACATACAATTAGCACTAGCTTGTACATTGTATATATTCATTGCAAACTGTGATGTCTTTTCTGTGACCTGTACTGAACTCAGTGGGTATTTGCTTACAATAAAGGTCTTCATTCATTCATTCATTCTTTCATTAAACTGTTAAAGGCAGTTTTTAGTTGCACTTTTTAGGGCTTGTAATCCCGATTTTTCAAAGCCAATATTCTAGTCATTTGTCTACATACTGAATTAACACCACACTATCCCTATGTATATTGACCCCCATGGAGCAGAAATCCCCAAAATTCTGACGGAAAATATGTTTACTAGAGGGGCCCTGGGATGATTTTAGGGTACTACCCAGAAAGTAAAGGACTCATATTGGGGCTTATTTCTGCAGTTTTAAATGCCCAAAGTATGAAATACTGAATTGAATGTACTAACTCGGTTGAATATGAGCAAAATAACTGATTTTATAAGATAAAAACCAAAATGGGATAATCGCAGGTTTGCCTAGCTAGCATGATCAAGCACAACATTTCCCTGGAGTACCAGCTTTATTTGGAATGCCAAAAGAACAAAATACGCTTAATTATAAGTTATTTAAATTTAAGTTATTATTATAAGATATTCATAACAAGAGGTTCCCGCCTCTAGTCCGTGTCATTTCATCTGGCAGATGTAAAAGTAGCATCTTTCCATACTGAAATATTACTACTCAGTTTACAGTTACTCTTCATTTGCAATTACCAAATTTAAATGCATTAGATCAGTACTGTAAACGTTAATTAAATACCACATATGTCTCCTGAGACTGGCCTACCAAAGATGAGTTTTTACGAAAAAGTCACTACACTGTACAGTTCATTTGTATCGTTATAGCAATCGCATGCTTACTGATATTACAATACTAAACAGCGCCGTGTACAGGTTTAAGATTGCAAGGTGGTTTCCCCCGGAAGCGCTTGGTTGATCGTTGGGCTCCTCCCCGGAAAATGGATCTTCTACTTCCGGGTCACGGTCGTTGGGCGTGCCCAGTACTTTCCGGCAGCCGAACCAATCATGGGGCGCTGACCTCGGGTAACCCTCCTCCACACGCATGGTGATGTCATTGAACCTCCAGTACTTAGTGCCCTTGAAGAAATACGTCAGACCTGCAAAGGAAAGACACGCACAACACATGAAACAATAAGTATCATGTCGAAAATAATTTCTGCAGGTTGGTAGAACATAGGGCCGGGGATACAAACTTAGCCACGTGTTCTCGTCGCAAAAGCGCCACCTACATACATCGGCGAGAAGCGGTACTCCAGTCAGAAGCTCTGAGGAAGATGTCTGACAGGCATCGAAACGTAAGGAGGCGAGAGACATGACTGGTTGTGTAAGAAGGAAATCCCAATATCCAATCAGGAGCATGTCTTCAAAATACGTTCAAGGCTATTTCAAGGATGCTTCATAAAGAAGACAATCAGAGAAAAAATAGTTGATGTTACAGTAATACTTGTACTGTATGTGAACCTTGTGCGATTTGAACTGATGCTCACCGTCTGTCCACTGCATGATGCCGTCCAGGTTGTTAGGCACGCCCTCCCACCTGTCAATGTTCTTGGGGTAACCTCGGTCCATCTTCTTCTCAATGTCGTCATAGCGCCAGTACCTGTAAAATGGTGTCAAATTGTAGATCATGGACGTACCGCATTGGTAATGTTGCAGCAGCGACACCTAGCTGTAGTACCAACAGGAACACCAGTCATTGTTGCCCTGAAGACGTAAGTGACAGGTGGTCACCGAATCGTCGGATGTGCAACCCCACTGGTTGTTGAATAAAGAACCTTCTTATACCGTATAGCACTCTGTTTTCTTTACTTTGCTTCACACGCGTTGATTGTTAGACTTATCTCCCTCAGAGGAAACAGGCAAAAACAATTATATTAAGTGAGCAATTAGAAAAGTAATTGCCATGGCGACGTATTTAGTTTTGAACGAATGGTAGGTATTTGGCTGATATATAATTTTCCTAGAATTTTTCCAAACTGGACATATACTAAAAAGTTCCGCCCCAGAGGCGTCGCCAAAAACGTATGTACTCTGCCAAGAAGTTATTGTGTGAGTACTAGTATCATGGCGAACCTGTTCCCCTTGAAGAAGTAGGTCTTGCCGTTGTGCCCCCACACGAACGCCGCGTCCACAGACTGCACGTGCAGGCCGTAGTCCCGGATGGGCCGGGGGTAGCTGGACTCCAGGTAGTTCCCGTCAAACACCCAGTACTGGGCATCTGGAGCAAGCAAGGCGATTGATATGATATGATATGATATGATATGATATGATATGATATGATATGATATGATATGATATGATATGATATGATATGATATGATATGATATGATATGGACCACCGCAGTACAAATCGCACCAGATTGCCATTCAGCATTCACGTTCAAAAGGTACGGGTAAAAAGAGACACCCTACAGCTCAATGAGATATTTCAACCAATGCTGCAAATTAATTCTTTACACGGAGTACTAATATATACCTCTAAACTAATGGCAAAAATCACACACACTGAAAAGACATTGCACAAAAACCCCTAGTTCCTACTGTATGTGCAACTAAGGATGAATCAATTATAGGAAGGTTTCTTGCTTTTTAGGTCGACAATCGGTTATACTTTGCTATATGAAGTGTTATCTGGGTAACCAGGGCGTAGACGTGACCTTTACTGAGCGAGAAAGGTCAATGCGTAAATTATGCCCTGATTACCCAAATCAAGCACACAGTATAACCGATTGTCGATGTAGGACGCAATGGGCGTTTCAGTAATCTATAAATCCCTTGCTGACTTTCTTCTTTGTTTATATCATACCTTTGAAGAAGACGATCTTGCCGTCGTAACGTTCGTACACGGCGTCGACGTGAGTCCCGCGGGGAAGACTGCGCCAGAACCGGCTGGTCATCGCCGGGTAGCCGGGGTACAGGCCCTTGTCGTGGTACCTGGGGAGAAATGCATAACATACATTGCCTTTTAATGTGTCAAGTGAAGGATAACTGTCACGCCTAGTATGTCACGCCGTCGTAGCCTCAACCAGCAGGCTTCGGAAGTGGCCAGAAAGAGAAGCTAGGCTAGGAGGCGGCAGATGTTAACCTGGGTGCCATCCTCCGTAGTTTCCGTCGGCTCCTTAATGTGGTAGCCAGCTACATTAGGGAGCCGGCGGAATCTACGGAGGAGGGCACCCAGGCTAGGCAAATATACTCCTTAGCGGACAAACTCTCTGACATGTTATTTATTTGAACCGATTTCTACTCTTTCTAGCTAGCTGTTTCCGAAGCCTGGTAGAGGCTAGCCCCGTCGGATAAAGTCGTCTTGACATCTACACTAAGACGTCAACAGGTAAGAACATCAAGGCATAAATCGTGTACGTACCTGTAAAAGTGACGATCTTTGAAGACAAAAAGTTCGCTGCGAATGACGGCTACGGCGTCGATGGACGGGAAGCAGGTGTCCGGCGGTGTGGCGGGGTGGTTCGGCGTGTGCGGGCGCCTGTCGGGGGTGTGGACGGGCGGTCTTTGTGGGGGACGTTCGGGAGTGTTCGGTACATGTTCGGGATGATTCGGTTGAAAGTTCGGTTTCTGGGTTGCCACGGGTGTCAGGGGCTGCTTCGGACGCCTTTCTTCGGGAGCACCTGTATGTAGCCGATGAAAGAAACAGTTTAACTGTTGCTCAGAGCGCGTCACAAGGGATAGAAAGTTTCAAAGCATATGTATGTCCGTTTTTTCATGTTTACCTTCGTAGAAGGAAAACAAATTGTTTCTGCTTTGTTTCTTCTTCCTCTTCTTCTTCTCCAAACAAATAATGTCAATGGCCTGAACCAGAAGTCTGTCACCATGGTAACTGCTGTTGGGTTATATCACGTTGCATTTTTGTAGGTGGGATTTAGACTCCTGTCACCATATATATGAATGTGTTTGAGTAAGAATTAACAGAGCAGACCATATATGCGAAGGTAAACATTACACAGTTGCTTTGCAAATGTTACCTATCTTTTATCCCACAAATGCATCCCTTTTTCAATTTCATCCCTGGATACAAAACATGAGCTTACCGTAGAGTTGCTGAATACCCCGGATGTCATCCTCCGTTAGCTGCAAAGGATCACGGTAGCGGTAGAAGGGGCCCATGATGGTGTTGTGTTCTGACGAGTGGCCCAGACCCAAGGCGTGACCAAACTCATGGGTCGCCACTTGGAACAGGTTTGCGCCTTAGGAGACAATGAGACGTCATTGATGCTACTTTCTTAAAGGCATCCGATGCAAGTTCAGGGCGGCAAAACACAAAAAAAATATTCCGGATGAGGAAATCTGTCTGATATTGACATTTACGGCCTATATATATTCTTAGCACATTTTCGTCATCATTTCATACTTGAAGCGTTTGAAATAGCCCCAAAACAAGGTACGTGAACCGTCTCTTTATTTTTTGGGTACCACCCATAAATAGCTAGAATCAGCCTATGATACGACACAAGCAACCGTTTTCCGTCAATAAAATCACATTTTTACCTCGCAGATATCAGTATGTCATGGAACAGGATTGATTCAACTTACTACATTAAAAGAATGACCAGAAAATTGACTTTGAAAATCCACTTTTGCAGTCCTGAAATTGCATTGCATTCGTTCAAGAAGTGGAGAGTTAACATTCTTGGTATCATTGCACCATCGAATGACGTAGTTTTACATTTTGTTACCTTCTTTCGTCATCGTCCATTTTTCCTCCTCGTCAAAGTGAGTGTCTCCTCCCCTGCGTGGACCGGGGAAGAACGCATGCGCGAGGGTGTTGCCGGGACCGTCAAAGGGATTGCCGTCTCCATGGAAACCTAAAAGTTCGAAGGAGCAACAGATGATGACACAAAATATTGTCAGAGATCACATCCTCCTACTTGTTAAAGCGACACTATGTAAGATTTTCACTATTTTAAACATCGTTGTTTTACACATTTTCTTGCGCTATAAGCCTGGGTTCATGATAACATTTGGGGAGTAACATATTAACTTCGTTGCGCCGCAAAAACCCTCCGGAAGTTGCCGAAGATACCCGAACGAAAACCACTGTTTGTTTACATTCTTTTTAGGAGTCTACTAAAAACACAGCGGGCCAACTTATTTTTGCGCTGCGCTGAGTCGCCGGAAAAAGCGAAATAGCGACGCTAACATGTTGAAATAACAATCTAGATGAGAAAATGTCAATTATTTATATAACTTTATACAGCTTTGGCGAAAAAACCTTACATGGTATCGCTTTAAAAATTGCAGTGTTAGAAAGAGTTACTAATTGTTGCAACAACAGGCCTTAAAGACTAAGCGGATCCTTACATGAACTTCTGCTTGGAGGTCAAAGACATACTAGTAGTATACGTGGTATTTTCATTTAGAGTTTAGAGAGGGAAGGTATTAAAGACAATATAATGTTGCTCCTATAATGTAAAAGTAAACTCAGTCTTACCCCAGAGAAAGTCTATCATGATGTCGGCCTCTCCGTGGAACTTTTCTGTGAAAGTCAGGGGTGTGACGTCACTCCAGACGTTAAAGGCTCGTCTGATGGCGTCATGTACAACGTAGGGACTGAGCTGGGGGGTCGTCCGGACAATTCTGTAACAGAAATCATCACGTTATGCACAGCGTAGGGGCTGAGCTGAGGGGTCGTCCGTACAATTCTGTAACAGAAGTCATCACGTTTATTCACCATGGTGTATGAGCGTACATGTATCTACCTATACAGCACATCTGCATACATAGGTAAGTATAGATTAACGAAATAAAATCATGGAATATCACAATGTCTCCATGAGGACTGTGCCAACCTGTAAGTCAAATTCTTCTTCTGCCAGTAGTATCCAACCAGCGCGTAGCGTTTCCTCCTGGTGGTTTCTGCCGTCCCGATGATGTCAGCAACGCCGCACCGCGGAGTTTGCATGAGCTGCAGGGTGTCCGCGTCCAGTTGGCCCGTCTCGTCCAAGCCGCCGAACCTCTGCATGGTCATGATGGCTTCCCTCAGCTCCTCTCCCGTCCTCATCTTCCTGTCGTCTTGTTTCAGGTAGCCGAACTTCATCAGGTAGTCCTACGGGTGTACAGAACGGTGCGAAAAACAAAGCAACGGTTGGCCAAGAACAAGAAAACTGCCAAAAAGCAGTGACTCAAGCAACTGGATATGATTTTGAAACCTTTCCAAAAACGAAATTTGACCGTTTCCAAAATAATATCGAGTCGCTTGAGTAACTGCTTGTTGGCGTATTTTATTACCTGAGTGTCTAACCTTCATCGACGTATCAAAGAAAACTTCTGATAGATGACAAGTCAAGTTGTTCAAGTCTGTACAATGTCCTTGACTCAAGAACTACGCGTACGTTTGCTAGCTACTAGTAGTTCTCGAGACGTTTTATCTTCTCTCAAGACAAATCAGTGAGAGATGCACAAAGAAGGTAGTTGTTGTTCTTTACGGGTGAAGCTCACAAGAATTATGTGATAGACTTTGGGTAGGAGAACTCTGAAGTGTTCCGAGTAGGCACAGTTGATATCCATATACAAATTTCGTTCAAGAAGTTCGTACGAGTCCTTGCCTCGTGTACCACAGTCTACAATTGAAATTCTCAACAATGGAATCCTTTCCGACCAGTAAAATAACAGACTTCTACGAGAAAAAAAAATTAAAAAAGATTAAGTACTTACAACTCCTTACGTAAACGAATTGAAGTTCGTTCTAAAACAAAAGAGTGGGCTCAGCACATGTTTTACGAGTCCTCTTCTATTTTCCTGGTCTAAAATTCGATGCCTGCCAACTCCTTTAAAGGTTTAGGGTTTGAATTGATTTTAAATCCTTTTCCATAAAGTTATGTGCCAGAAACAGATTGACTTTTACGCTCATACTTACAACTCCCTTTGAGAGGTCTGCGTTGGTGACGTTGAGAATGGACGCCGCGCCTGGCCACATCGCCTCCTGGTTCCCACCCACCATGCACGCGGCGGAAAACCACAGAGCCAGCGGCAACAGCAACAACCTTGTTCCTACAACCGCCATGTTCCGCCGATTCAGACTCGATCACAGCCAAACACTGCTGTACGACAAGACTCGGAGAGAGATAGGCTAGTTACGAGGACACTGCCTGCCTTTGTAGAGATGTCAAGCCGCGCAAACTGGCTTTTTAACTGTCGGCCGGACGACTTTCCGGTGCTGGCAGGCGCGGGCACATCGCGTCCTGTTTTGAAATCACTCACAAGTCAATAGAAACCCTGAAGGAGGCAGAGAAAGTGTGTGGGGTTGTTTGGAGGAGCGTTCTTCCAAGCCTCTACCAGGCCTCACGAGCTTCAGAAGCGACTGGAAAGAGTAGAAATTGAACCAATAGACAGATAACATGCCAGGTGAGTTGGTCCGCTCATGAGTACATTTGTCGCGTCCTCAGCGGATCACCTCCCCTTGCATGTTATCTGGCCAACTTAAGCTTCTACTCTTTCCAGTCGCATCCGAAGCTTGATAGAGGCTAGGTTCTTCCCTAGCTTCAACAGAAATGTATAGAAACGAACTTAACCCACAAAAAACATAACAAATACGAGACTTATGAACTTTTGCAAAGCACCCAAGACACCTACCGTACCGGCCGTCTTTTACAATGAGTGGTAGGTATAGACGTAACTATGAAGGAAATTAAAATACTAGAAAAGTAACATCTGCAAAGCAAATGCACAATTTTTACCTTCGCATACCTTCTGCTCTGTTAATTTTAACCAAAATCCATTCACATATATATATGGTGACAGGAGTGTAAATCCCTCCCACTATAAAATTGCAACATTATGTAACCCAACACCACACCAGTTACCATGGAGAGAGACGGTCTAGTTCAGGTCATTGACCAGGTCAGAGGTCACTGTTTGAAGAAGAAGAAACAATATGTTTCCTTCGGTAAGCATAAAAAGTAGATTATCAGTTTCTCCCGAACCCATCCAGGGTTACCATTGAGTGGTGCATCATAGTAATGACTAGCTGTTTCCGTGGCTGTTCTGTTGGCCGGTGGAGAGGGAGGGAGGGTTGAGAGGTGAAACCTTGTATGGTAATAAGAGTGTGATACAGGTCATATCACGGGAAGATCGGGGGTGTGAATCATCTAGCAAATCAGCAGATTGACGGATATTGACCCTGTGCAATCTACATAAGGGCACACGTGGAGCGATTTACCATTTATAGACATCTTCTGACACTCAGATGAACTCAGCGTTTCGCTTCTGAGATGTCCGCCAGTTCGTCGATGATACCAGCCTTCTTTTTTGCAAAAGTTGTTTCTCGTGGTGTGGTTGCTTTAAATCACGTGGTTACGTTGTTAATTTTTCAACGACAGTCAGTATTTCATTTTCCCCTTAAATCCAATTGCATTTGATGAGCCTTCAAAGCTTGCCAAGCACAATATACCCGTGTATTTTAGCAGGAAAAATAGATGTGTAAAAATTTAGAGTATACATGTAGATACGCCAGTACGGATGAAGGTTAGACATCCAGGTATTAACACCAAAAGACCAGGTCTGTTTGGAGTCTAGATCTATCCGAAATGCAACTAACTTCTAACCAATGTACATGTGCATAGTGATAGCAGGTGCAGCGCAAAGGACAAGATATTTTCCATTCGGTCTATGCACAAGTTCGTGTTCTGATGATGTCCAGAGTCTCTAGGTGTGGATGACTATATGTTTTAGAAGTTATTTTCAGTTACAGCTCCTATGTAATACCACACCATTTCTGTGCCTGAGAAAGTGTTATTTCGGCGTTCACATGTAGCAACTTCCCACGGTGCCCTGACTTGCTTACACCACGATAACCCTTGCGTGGCTGCCGTGAGCAACTCAAGTTTCCGGCGGGCGCAAAGCTGGGGATGCCCGATAAGATCCACCCTTTCCCGCCTCGCCATATTTGGTTTTCCGCTCTGTGCAATGTCCTGCCACTTTGGTTAGGAACATGGTGTAATAAAGAGGTAATGTTGGAGAATATAGACGGACTGGCCGCGCCCGAGACTTTCTGTAATTAAGGCGCCAAAGTAGATCGCGGGGCAGACATGCATGTACATGTACATGTACTAAATAAGTACGTGGTGTATCTGACTCGTGGCCTCTACCAGGCTTCGAGAAGCGGCTGGAAAGAGTAGAAATTGGCCAAATAGACAGATAACATGCCAGGGGAGTTGGTCCTCTCAAGAGTACAGTTTGCCGCTTCGTGATTCCAGGTTTATAGTTACTCGCACCTAGTAGTAGAACCCACTACTACTAATGAGTACTACAGCACTCTAGTCTAGCTACTTCAAAAAGCATCATGATTCGCTTTAGTTCAGGAAGACTGCCCCATACCAATAGCTGATTGAATCAGAAGTACTTTTTAGGTAACCTGTGGACCTTAACAATTTTTTTTTTCTTTTCAACGGTAGGTTTTATCAAAATCAAAACGGCGACAAAATAGACAAATAGAAATTTTAAAATGATATCAAACTTTTCAGCCAGTATTTAACAGCTATGTGGTATTCATGTCACTACGCTTAGTAGGATTCATTGGATAACTAGTAGAGAGTAGGATAAGACATTGCCTAATGGCTATGACTGTGTCATCTATCAAATACAACAGACACCAGCAAAATTTGTTAAAAGATTTTTTTATTCCACATTTGGAGCAAGGCAAAGAACCAGCGCAACAGCTGAAGGTAGCACATTAATTTATCATAACTCAACATAAAGTCACTAAGATTTGGTCAGACTTGCGCACAAACAAAAACATTTCTCACAGCAGGTAGTTTCCATAAAATATCATGTTAAATAATAACAAAACGTCTCACATATGGAAAACAGTCCTTGTTTATCAGAAATGGAAGGAATTCTGAAATCATAAGCTCATTTATGCTGGAATAGACATATTCTTCAAAAAGTGGAAATTTGAGGACTGTACCAAAAGTTCCCAGAAGGGGGGAGATGGCAAACTTTTGAATTTCTTAAACCTGATTTTTCATGTCTTAAAACAATTTTCTAAAAAAAATGTTTGTTCACTCCCCCTTCCAAAGGAAATTTGTGGAACAGCCCAAAGACACACAAGGGACATACTACAATATATGTCAAAGATGTCAGGTCCTTAGTACACTGACTTCAAGCACCAAGATAACACAAGGAGCTATCATGAAGTACCTACTTACTATTCCATCTAATTTGCTGAAAAGGAAGCTATGAACAGCTACTAGTGATTTGCAATGGAACAGAAACTAAGACATTCTTGCTTCTTGCTTGCCTTTGAAAACTAAGATTGCTTCTTGAATTCGAGACACAAAAATCTGAGAAATCACTACAAAATTACTATTCGCACCATAATGTCCAATGGAAAAATGTAAGAATGGCATTCTTACAAGTAAACAGGACACAAAATTGCCCATGACAAGTACTACAGCCGTTTGGCCAGCTTTAACATCTATTGTTATTAGGTGGTGCAGCAACAAGCCATCAGAAACAGTCGCTCATACATGTAAGTTCACTTGAACACTTCTGAAGTACAGTTTAGAATCTGCTACACTGAACTCCTGGAGTAACACTAAAGAAAAATGTAGAACTGTCTTGGCAGAAAACATGCTGACATCTTTTAAACAATAAGAACATGAAGTAAGATCAGTTGCAAATACATGATTCACTATTCAATACACAATTTACTAAGACACAATTGAGATGTGCACTTGGCAGTTTAAAGAAAACAGTTAGCAGGTGTTGAACGTTGTAACACTCAGCACATTTGCAAACTTGTACGGCTGCAGCAACTGTTGTACTCAAGCCCCTTTCTCTTCCTGCTACATGTTTTTCACTCAAAATGTACAATGCAGATGTACTATTGAACCTTATGCTGCATTATTTGGAGAGTTTGGGGAGGAAAATCTAAAAAAAAAAAACGGTTACAGCTCACGATTAGAACGTACCTATTTCAAGGGCTTTTTATGAGCTGAATGTCCTCTACATCGGCATTGGTTTCTTCATACCTGATATGCAAAATAACTGCAAAATTCTCATTGTACAAAGTGTGCAAAACCCCTGCATCAGGCATGAATGGTTGGAGTAAGCTTTCTGTTGGCAAAATCTACTTCGTGTTCCTCCCAAAACTTGCAAAAGTGCAGAGTTCAACAGTAGAAAGAAGCTGCAGAAAAGGCAAAGAGACCGCGCTTCTCATGTAATGTATGACTGTTTAGTGCAAAAACTGCTTCAAATTTGATGTCCCCTTTCCTTAGATCAGATCAGAGTTGAGACTGTTGAGACCCTGGTAACATTGAGCATCTAGAAATACGACAGAGCTCATGATCACATCTTTCAACAAGTGTTTGTTTCCCAACGATCTCCAAGGCCTTCCAACAATCTCTCATTGACCAATGATTTTTAGTTGCCCTAGATTCCAATGGGAAGGGGCCCTTACAGGCTTCAGAGCTACTATTTTGATACACAGTATGTTGTATCATGTGTGTTGTTTCTAAGTGTTGACTTTTTGCATTGCCTTCAGCACTATCAATACATGTATCATCATTCTCTTAGCAGAAGTGACCGTTTTGTTATCAGCATTCTTAGCTTTTCCATAGATGCTGTCATGGAGCTTGCATTTAGTAGAAAATTTAGGTTGCCTTACTGAGTGTACTAGAGCTCATTTTTAGACTTCTCTCAAAGACCAGACATGATTGTGAGGGTAGAATAGCACGTACTATGAAGACAAGTCATTACTACAATTCTCCTTGGGCAGCTTTTCTACCCAAAGAAATTTTGCAGTGACACTGTTGCAGTTATCCTCCTATATAGCCATGTGCAATCTTAGAGACAATCCTTACATAGTTTCTTATACTAGCTGTTCATATCTAATCCCATTGTCTTTGCCCCAGCTGTATATGCAATGTCCCTCACGGACAGGGAGAGCATGTGTTGGTCTTTTTCTATCTTACTTGTTCTTCTACAATCTTACATGCAGCCTTATACAGTCTTATGTAAGCATTTGTAGAGTGTGTGCTAGACACAGTTTATATCAAGCTTCAGAGTGTGCAAACTGGGTCGGAAGTTGCACTGGACTGAAAAAAATTGTCAGATTTTGGCGACACCTCAGGAGCGGAGCCAATTTTGTGCTCTGGAATTTTGTGCAAAAAAAGGTGTCACTGTGTGCACAGACCCAAGTTGCACACTGTGATACTTAAACCTGCATTCCTGACTCTGCCAATAGTAAATTTGGTTGTACGTGAAACCAAAGGAAAATATTTCTCTTAAGTAACTCGTGACTTATGCATTTAGTGACGTGACTACATGTATCACTGATGTGGACAGTGTGCGAATCAGTTTTCACCGATAGAGTTGAGGGAACATTAGAGTGTAGTCTAACACTTAACTGAGTAAGAGTATCAGGAATGCTGCATTGTGAGTGCTCTGTCCTTAACAACATTGAGAACTACATTGATATGTTTTGGTAACAATCTAAAACAGTATCCTCAGATGTGTAATGACATGCATGACAGTTGCACTTTTCTCAGCAGTCATCATTTTGGGAGGTTACTGTTCATTACAAAGACTTGCAAGGATCTGTCAACACTCATTTATGTGCAGAGATGATTTTTATGCTTCATCAGAAAACTGTGCTGCACCAAAATAGTTGTAGCAAACAAATTAAAACGTAACCGTGAATGTGTAACCTTAGAAGAAACAAGCTTGCTACAAAGAGGCATTTTTTTCTTGCTTTTGGTTTTTCTTCTTCAAACTGTTGTGGATTTTTCATGAAAAAAAGAGATGGCATTGGCAGTAACACAAGTACAGGCAAGAGGATGCAAAAATGTTCTGTAAAACCCAGATCCAGAACAGTGTACGAACCTGTCAATGCTAGGCCAAAGAGAGGGGGAAGAGGACCACAATGCATCTTTGGCTCGTCAAACATTCTGAGGTAGTTTCAAAACTGCACAGATCTTGGATCTCGCATTCTGGAGTCCAGTTTCCGAGTCATATTTGGAGCTTAAATTCTCTGAGATTCTTCCTATAATCATACCTGCCAGATGAATCTAAAAATGTGAAATTTTCTTCTGGGTAATAAAATTCCTTGGTGCCTTCACCCCTCATTTATGGGTCTGCATTGACAGATGCACTGATTGGGATTTTATTGAAAGATGTGTTCTTAAAGTACCTAACTGTTTTGTGGTGGACCATAAAAGAACACCTTAAAAAGGGACAAAATGTGGGGAGGGGGGCAAGCTTAGACTACTGTAGTATGTATGTTTAACTGTCTTTCTCTATATACACGTGTTTTAAAAATATCAGCTCCCATTGCATATATTCCCACCCTGACCTGTGTTTTGCCCTTGCCGCCCTCCCCATTCTTTCCCCCTTTTAAGGACAGCTCTTACAGTTAGAATATGAAAAAAAGGTATGAAAGCAGAAGCTGGACTACATAAATGTGTAGAGGGATACAACAGGCCACGCCCATTTATTTCTGCAGTTCTTTGACATTTTCAAGTAGAAGGCAAGAGGCTAAGATGAGTACACTGAGAGCAAGAAGGAAACTTACATATTGACATCTGACTATACAGAAATTTGTCCCATTCAAACACACCCCTCCCATTTTTTTCTTCAATTTGATACTTAAACATCTTACATAAGCATTGATGGGGAAACTAGAAGAAAAGACATTATCTAACATCTCGAGTGAGGAAGGAATGAAGACCTAAAATAAGTTACAAGTATGACCAAGCCCTGGACTGAATATAGAAGACCCTGCCTACTGTACAGTGATACCTGGTGTTGTACATGGCCACAATTTCAAATGTAGTAAAACCTATCCAGGTAAAAACTTTCAGAACTATTTTAAAACAATTCTTCTTCTCTGCCCTTACAATCACTGGTGAACCATAATATACCACAGCATATCACTGCACGGTATAGCAGGCAGCATGTGAGAGATGTCTAATACATTCAGTCCACAATGCTCAGAAACTAAAGTCAGAAACGCTAGTGAGAAACAGAAAAAGCCTTGCAGGACGTCCCTTGTTGGCAGGTGCTTGCTACGGGTGGAGCGGTGAAGGCAGTTCCTGAGATGTTGACGAGCAGGTGACAGACAGCTGCAGCTGTGTTCAGGTGCAGAATGGGCGACTGCTATGACGGAGGCTTGCTGGCTGCTAACATTGCACGTATCTTCGCCCTGAGATCCTATACAAACAAAAAACATGCCAAAAATTGCAAAGATACACTAAAATTTTGTAATCAAGTGTAGACAAAGATCTGTAACACCAGAAAAAGGCACTGCCAAAAAGTAATACTTTAATTACAACTAGAGAAGTAACATTTGCAAGGCAAATGCATAATGTTTACCTTCACACATGGTATGCTCTGTTAAATCTTACTCAAACACATTCACATACACATACTATTACTACTAGTATATGGTGGCAGGAGCAGAGCAGACCATGAAATTGCAACATTATGTAACCCAACACTACATGTATGTACTTACATCACTAACTTGAACAGAAGCACTGGCTCCATTCCCATTTCCCGCTGGCAAACCTTGCGCAGAAGGAACCTTGGGGCTTGCCCTGGAACTGGGAAGGTAATGGATAAACATAATTACACAGTCATGTACAATAAAATTCCCTGAAATGGGAGAAATGGTCACACAATGGGTGGAAAACCGTGTTCCCCTGGATACAGTGGTAGAGTCTACAAGACAAGCCAGTGGTTGAATTTTTTGTAAAAGCCTGAAGAAGGAATTTCAAGACACGCACATTCTTCCTTTACAATTACATGTAGCTGTCAGCACACTTACAATGTAGTTCAATTGTTTAAAGACTGCAGTCATGGCGAAATTTCAGTACAACTTCCCTTGTAAATATTTTTTTTATAATAGTTTAATTGCTTAAGAAGAAATGCGTACCAACAGTGCCTTCATTGCTCAATAAATTCAAAGAACTACAATGGCATGCATGTGATGCTTCCCTACATGTAACATGTTCATTCCTCACCTTTCTTCTCTATCACTAAAGATGGGACTGTCAGACCTGGTCGGCCTGGCTGGGTTGATTTCCTTCCATTTGGGGGATCTGGACCGTGACCTTGCTTTTTGCTTGACCTTGGGTAAGTCCCTGAGTCTGTATTCTGGTGTGGAACTCCTCTGCCTCTTGCGATGAGGGGACTTGGATCTGGACCTGGATCGAGACCTAAAAGACGAGAATATATATATATTTCAAACTAGAAAGGTAACAGGAAAGCAAATGCATAATGTTTACCTTCGCATATGGTCTGCTCTGTTACATGTAGTTCTTACTCAAATATATGTATGTGGTCAGGCAGGTGTCTAAATCCCTCCTGCTATAAAATTGCAACATGATGTAACCCAACACCATGGTGTTTCCATGGTGACAGACGTCTGGTTCTGGTCATTGACCTTTTTGGTTTGGAGAAGAAGAAGAAGAAACAGAGCAGAAACAATATGTATTCTTTCAATCAAAAACTGTACCTAACTCTTATTGTCAAACAGTGTACAAGCAATCATTGGAGAGAGAAACCTTCCAATTTCTGACCTGTATTTCTTCCTGCTACTGCTGGTACTGGAAACTTTGTAGGCACTAGGTGGTGACCGTGATGGTTTGTTGTGAGGAGAGAGGGACCTGGAGTGGGGGGACATCGTTCCCTGTCCTGCCGCCGCCTCCTCTGATAACACCTCTGCGTAAGCCTGGCAAAGGAAAAAAAAGGCAAACTTCACACCCTTACCCATACTACTTTGCAACTCATCCAGTCCCATGGACAAAAATAGTAGCAACGAGGATGTGTGTATAGCAACAATGCATTGTGTGAATTGGGTATTGCAGAAACACATTTTGACTTTGAAAATTGTCAATTTTCTGACAGTAACTGTTGCTTGAGTTAACTGTTTTCTTGTGTATCTCATTACCTGGATGTCTAACCTTCATTAACGTACAAGCAGTGTTCTAGCCAGTGTCTGTCTTTTTGTAATTTGACAGAATTTTGCTGCTCATGATGGACAAAAATTTTGCTGACAGACAAAAATTGGTATGTTATGATATGAAAAGAGATGTCATTAAACTAAACTTAGTCTATCAGCAAAATTTGCCCCTCAAAATGAAGGAAATAGCTTTTCAGAGAGTCAAGATTTTCAAACTTTTCCCGGAGGATGCAAGCCCCCAGACATTCTAGGATTTCGCACGGCACTAGACATGATGTTACATAAAACAAGCTTGAGATGACAGAAAAAAATTCAGGCAAGCTAGAACTCGCACTGCGTACAAGCCAAGAGACATTTCTAAATGAGATCACTGTTACCTGTGCAGCCAACTCTTCTTCTGTAGTGGCTGTGCCTGGAGCTTTACTGACAGTTGCTGACGGGGTGGTTTTGAGCATACTGATGAACAGGGCGGCCCGTCTTTTCCGTTCTTGCTGTAGTTGCCGCTCTCGATTGGTCGCTGCAAGTTTCTCTCGCGCAGCCACTGCCAGCTTCTTCTCAAGCCTCTCTTTGGCTGTGGGCGCAAAAATGGGAGGATATTTTCAGCTGAAAGTAAGGTTTATCTAAATCTAAAACATTGTTGTAAAGTCCCTGTTGACTAACCCTGTAACAAATAAAGAACCATTCGCAAACGGCTACCCGGTACTTCAGTGTGCTAAAAGGTAATATAGCTAAATTAAAAGTACCAGAAATGATGAGGCTACATAGCACGTCGGCAGAACGTACTACATTTACACCTGTGTGAAACCCATAATATATTGTGTATAGCACTTTGGCAGAATGTCTCATATATGGTTGTATTTGCGTCTGTAGTTTTCTTATGTTATGTTGTAAAAGATATCGAAAAATTCTAATGCAACATCCGACAAAAACTGGAAGCAAGCCAGTTGCAGTACGTTCTGCCCACGTGCTAGGCTACATGAACTTACATTGGTTTACAGTAACTATGCCCTACTTGGAGGAACCATGCCCTACTACATGACCGTGTACACAATGTAGGTAAATCACTCTACATTGTGCTCAAGACCAATAGTGTCAACTGTACCTTCCTTGGCTGCCACCTCCTCTGGAGTAAGCTGAGGTCTGATTGGTCTGTCTTCTGCCAGTTCTTCCTGTGGCGGCACGTCCTGCTGAAGTCCGGTATTGTCCAGCGGCAGGCCCGCCGCCGCCTCCATCTCCGCAAACTCGTCTGCGTAGTCGTCATCGCTGTCGTCCGCGGGGAGGGCACTTTTGGACTCCAGGGGCACCATCTCAGGCTCCTTGGCTTTTATTGAGAAACTAACGGGACCAACTGTAAATGGGAAAGAGAGGTCAGTGTTACTTATTTACGTGGACTGCAACACCAGTTAGTAATGTAGGTGTTTAGCACACCAATAGTAAGGCAAGGATTTGAAACCCTAACTTGGTCCAGATTCTGAAGTAAAACTACCAACTTCTACACCATAACATGTTACACCTGTTACTGTTATATTGATATCTAAAAGTTCTGTAAATAGTTTCATCAGGTTGGTAAGTCACTAAATAAAAAAGACTATTTTACACAAGCGACTACTTCAGTGACTGTAGTGTGACTGGTTCAGAATCTAGACCTTCCTCGGGGCAATTCTGACTGGTTCACATTTGACAGCACAGGTGTCACTGCTTATGGGAACGGATGCATCTATGTCATTGAGCAGCAATACCTGTGCTGCGCAATGTGAAGTAGTCAGAAGTTCTGTAAAAGGAGTCTTTTTTATTCGACATCTTAAACTCTTTCATATCAAGGAAGGTGAAACGTACTCTTTCCTTTGGTTGCTGCTGCGAGTGTGGTCCTCTCTGTTGTCATGGTAGTGACCCCGTCCTCCGTCACGGTTCTTTTGGACATGGTGACAGGTATGTTCTCCCCCGCCAGCTCCTGTCTGTACAGCAGCTTCTTGAACTCGTAGTAGGGATTGTGGACGTGCCACGGAAGCAAGAATTCAAATCTGGGGTCGTTCTTGGCGCGGACCGTCGTTTCGAACTCGTCCCCGTTTTTCGCGACGTACTTGGCAAGCTTGTCGATGATTGGCTGGATGTCCGGCGGAGGCGGAACGATGTTCGGGAATGTTGGAAGTGCAGGAGATTGCAGCAAAGGTCTGTCCATCAAAACACAACAAAATTAATGGATGAAAGCTTAAAAACCCTTCTCAACTGTCCTAACCTGTTTGTTTGGAAGTATTTTATAACTTCAACTTGAAGTCAACTTTATTTTCACTTGCTTATGTTCACTTGCAGGCACAATATAATTGCAGAGTAGACTGGAAATTTGGGGGGACTTTTCTGGATCTAAAAGCCAGGAAGTGTGCCTGATAAACAAAAGAAAGGCTGGCATTATGATTGTCCCAGCCTACATTTTAGTGGTCGGTGGCCATTGGACAACCTTTAATTTCAAGCCCTGATATACATGTATCTATGGGTTGCACATACATGTACTTACAGTACCATCTATAAAGCGCCCTGCATATGTATGATTGGGGAATATTTCTTGTGCAATGCATCACACCAAAGCAAAACGCAAAGAATGTTAAACTATGCCACAGCAAGGCAACAAAAGTCAGGGGTCTATGACCTGATTAAGACAATAAAAATTTATTGAATTTAGAAATATATTTACATAAAAAAGGTTGAAATTGCTGAGAAAATCCAAACTTACTCCTCTTTCACTGTGCCAGCCGTAGTGACCACGGAGCCCCCTGTACCGGGCCGGGAGTCCTCCCCAGGGGGGTGGGGGAGGAGGGGGCAGGCAGGCTGGCCGCACACGTCAGCGGCACCCCGGGAGGGGGGAGG